CACCACCACCACCACCACCACCACCACCACCACCACCACCACCACCACCGCAACCATCATCATCATCATCAACATCGTTCAGGAAACGGGCTTATTGGGAGCCCGTTCCTTATTGGCTGCCGTATCTCTTTTAGGCTCTACGCCTCTTGGAAATCGTACTCATAGCCTGTGGAATACAGTATGTTTTTTTCCTAAATTCCCACTTTTTTTCCACGCGAGACCTGTATATCTTTATCTGAATATCGTCTTTATGGTGCGTAGACAAATGATGTTATTTTAGGTCGTCAATATTTAGCACCAGAAATGAATGATTTCATTCATCGCAAGCGTTGAGCAGACGTTCCTTGGCCTCACGCACAATCCCAATTTCGAATTCCTCTACTATTCGAAGACATTTATAAAGTGCTTAGAGTGTATGTGCGTGCGTGGCGCGTTTAACTTCATTACAATCTCGCGAAATTTCGACTAAACTACATCAAGTATTCCTCGGTTTGATCTCAACCAACGTCCTAACGAAGTTGGTCAGCTTTGAGTGATAAGTCTCCGAGGCAGATTTTCTCAAACCACCTCTGTTAAACAATCAGCACCGCAAACATCCCACTTCCTTCAGCAAGTGTCGTAACTGATGTTCCCGCCTCTCTGTCCACCTCGTCTAGACACTTCGGCGTGGAAGGCTGGTCGCCCTACGACTTCAGCCAGTTGGCCAACCTCCTCGTCATTCTGCGGACACTCAGGTTCACCCAGACCTCCTCCCTGATGACGAGTGTGCTGGTCCAGATGCCCTGCCACCTCTCTCCCGTTCTGGGGGTTCTCGTCTCCGTCTACTACATCTACGCTCTGCTTGGGCTCTCCATCTTCCGTGGAACCATCCAACATCCCACCAACACTTCCTTCATGTGAGTTGTCTGTGGCTTCTGAGTCGCCATAGCAACACGTCGTCTGGCGTTGTTGTCACGGTTTTGCACGGCACCCTCGTTTCGCCTATTTTTTGTCCCTCTAGGATATCAGACACTTGTAGGGAGGGTGCGGAATTCTATACTACTCTTTTCTTCCTAATTAGTAGTATGCTTGTTCAGTGAACTTGCTTCCCTTCCTACTTCAGGTCGAATGAAACCTACGAGTGCGGGACTTATCAGCAGCTCAACTACTGGGCGATCAATTTCGACGATTTCGCGGTGAGTGAGTGTGTGGGTTACGCCTTTTGTGTGTTCGTGGGAAAGGCGATATCAGTTTTCCAATGTCCGATAAGTTTATTTCTCAGAAAAAAGTATTCAAGTAAATATCGGGCTTTAGCGGATAGACAATTTCCCAATCCAATCTATCACTTGGTGTTGAAGTCTAGTCAACACGACACGCCTTACACACAACTCAAACTAGAGCCGTCAATCCGAGTTCTCAGTACTGGCTGCACTGCCATTTATGCAGGTGCTTCTCATCTGTCTTCGCCTCTGATTGGCTGGTGATCTGAGGTCATCCAATCCAACTTCAGGACTGTTTAACCAATGGCGAACACTTTTGATTGCATATCCTGCAGAACATATTTCGCCAAAATTGTTGACAATTTTTTTTAAGATTTTATTTCACTTAGGCCAGTATCTACACCCTCTGGAGCCTAATGGTACTCAACAATTGGCACGTCATTGTCAAGGCCTTTTCCGATGAACTTGGAAGGTACCTTTTTCCCCCTCTTGTTCTATTGGCTGAATACAAATTTAACCAATCAGCGCGTGGCACTTCCTTGTAATTCTATTGGCTAGATGTATGGATGAATTTTTACTCCCAAAACAGCTGAGGTTAGCATGTTTTAAATCAAAAAAATTATAATCTTGTATTAATATTCAGTTAATTAACCTCATTGATGGACAGATTTTAGGGAATATTTTGCCAGGAAACTGATTCACATTTTTCCCACAAATTCAGTTTAACCGATTTGTGCGTGTCACTTCCTTCTTGTACTTCTATTGGTTAGATGTCTAGTTTAGGTTTGCTTGTTGTTAACAAAGAAACTAATTTAAAGGAGTATTTCACCAACGGAATAATTCCTGCAGCTTTTATTCCCATTTTTCCTGCAAACTCAACCAATCAGCACGACCTGAAGTGTAACCGTTTTCACACATTTAAACTGATTTTATAAATGTGTGAATTTTGAATTTTTTTTCTAGGTGGGTTCACATCTACACACTGAGTTGGTGGCTCATTGTGGCTGTCGTCCTTCTCACCCTCACAACGGCAATGATAATTGAGGTTTGTTGTATTTGAGATCGAAATCGACTTGCATTACCCCCCCTCCCACCTGCCTCGATTACTATTGGTTAATTTGTTGTAGCATTACTCACCATCCACCCAATCGGGTTGCAAGTCGCTGGTAGAAAATTAGATCTCGAAGTACCCATTTTGATTTTCTGGAGCTGTCATTCGATGGAGATTGTAGAGATGGCATATTCCATGTCATTTCAGTCACCTTAGTCGTCAACGCCATCACAAGTGGGTAGCTGGTTGAATTCTCATTAAAGTAGGTGTCCTTGGTTGAGTGTTAAATCGATTGGTCGGTAGGGATTTGTAGGGGTGTGTAGGTGATGCTGGTGCGACCAGCTCACAACTTTCTTGCATTTTCACGTTACCTCAACGTACTCCTCACCGGCCTTCTCTCCGACGTCGCGTTGTCATGGCATTTCATTCTCTTGAAGCCGCATGTCCAACAGTTAATGTCTCTCTTGTGCTCTTCTTTAGAGTTTCCTTTTTGCACGGCAAATGCACGCTCGACGCGCGGACCTACTCGCGTCACGAAAACGCCGTCGAACTAACCCCTGTGCCCTCGCTTTTGTCAACGCCTTGACGCGCAACCGCCAAGACGACGTTGTCCACGAAGACGAGGAAGAGCTGATGCCGGCCTTCGAGCACCCCAGGGAACACATCAACTCCCCCCCTCAACCCCCAACTCCCCCGAGTCCGGAAGACGACGGGGAGACGGTGTTGGTGCAGCCGCCTCCTTCCGCAGTTGTGTACAGCTTCGCGCAAATGTTCGGTCAGAATCTGACTGAGCCCACGAACGAGGAGATGTTGCATCACCTCCACCGACACCGCGAAATCGGGGCCTTGATATCCTCCTGACGCAATGATTTGACCAATTGTGATTTACCCCTGAATTCCTACTTTTCTTATTGCCTATTTTTCTTAAATTTCTCCCCATTTTTGCAATCATGAGTTGGATATTTATTTGTGTACGTAACACTAATCGATTAAGGGAATTAATTCCTTACGATGTGTGGTTATTTCCAAGAAATAAAACCTGTATATTTGCCAAACCAAGTTTTTTTCTGTGATGAATTGAGGGGATCGTTGTCACGTGACTTCGCGTGTGCTAATGGACGGGAATTTGGAATGTACCAGTATTTACGCATCCTTTGGTAACGCTCAATGCTCAAACATGCCATTGTCGGCACCCATTTTCATTCGTGTGTACAAATTTTGTCAAGAACGGAAGATCCGCGGATCAACGAGTGTATTAGATGCGTCATTAGCTCAATGACTGCCTATAAACGTGGTTTTTGTACCTGGATGAACCTGTTGATGAAAGCCTGTTCTAGGCGTTTTCGGGAGGTCTAGACGTGTCCTCACTTGCTGTAAATCGTGAGAGCCTAACCGAAATATTGCTCAGAAACTGGTAAAACATGAGTCCTACGTGTGTCAGTCACTTCCGAAAACCATCATTGTCGTAGCCCCTCTCTGTGACTTGGTTGCATCTATTTTAGGGATGCTTAAAGTCGCCTTTGTGAAGAAACTGGCTGTGTCAGGCACGTGTCTTCGTCTGCTCTCATCCCTAGGACAACACGAAAGCGTGATCGTCTCTCGGAGGGGTCGAGATTGTCAAATTGGCCTTGTTCAGCTTAATAAACCCGAATCCCATAATGCCCTCTCGCCCAATCTGATTGACCAATTAGCGTCCAGTGTTGAGGAACTTGACGCCGATGCCTCCATTCGCTGTCTTGTCCTGACGGGCAGTGAAAAGGTCTTCTCTGGTGAGGTTTGCCATCCATCCTTGTTTCGATGACCCTTGCTGCAGCTCTAGTGGAAGACGCGTTATGTGTGGACATTGCTTGAATACCGGTCCCCGCATTCTACTCTACTGGCAGGTTGTCGATGTTTTCTGAAATACCAAATAGTTCGCCTGGAAATTACAGGTCAAACTGTAATGGACTATGATATAATGCGTATTGCAAGCATGCTCGCATTTATAAACCTTCACTACTTCCCGAATTCTGGGTTGGCAAGGGGTCCTGTTTGAGTACTGTGCGGTTGTGGGCAACTAAATCGTTCTTGTTGAGATGTCCATGGCTTAGATCTGAGCCTGGACAAATTGACAGAAGCAGAGATGGGACGAAGGGCTGAAATTGCATCAAGACTCAAACTTGGGATGCGTTTTAAGGGACGGAAATGTCCTGGCTGTTGTCTGGCTCTTTCATGTTGCTGCATGTCGCTAAGACAACGCATATTTTTGCTCTTATAGACGAATATTACCATTTTAAAGTCTTCAAAACTGCAAAATTATTGGTCAAAGCACATCCATTTTTCAGTACTTTTCAAAAGTCACGAAGTTTAGGGACGGAGATGTACTTCGATCTGGTTGTGTGCACGTAATCGGAATTATTTTTAGACCCCTCAACTTCTACGATTGGAATATATCAATTTTAGTCTGTCTTTAAGCTCAATTTGAATGTTCACGATGAATGCCGTCCAGGGATCAGTACACGATTTCCGTTGAAGTTAGTGATGGTTACGTTGAAACAAGGCGGTCTGAATTGCCGAGGTTTTTAGACAAGCGACAACGGAGTTGATGGGCAAGAATCATCACGATTCCCCACACCCTCCTTGCGTCCTCGTTTAAGCTCACACACAGTTTACATTCAATTTGGATAGGGCCGAATTCTATCGACTGATTTGGTGAATCCGTGGCGTGGTAATTGAAGCATGTATTTTCGGTGGCTAACCACCATGAGATATGCGCATTCGATGTCACCTATAGTAGTTATTATCTCGAATATTTATTTTAGTCGGCGCTGATGTGAAGCATTTAGCTAGCTTGGAGCCTTCCGACGTGGCAACAGAGGATGTACTGCACAAGTGGGATGTCCTTGCGTCCGTCAAGAAGCCCTTGATCGCCGTGGTAAACGGTCCAGCCTTGGGTGGAGGCTGCGAGTTGGCAATGATGTGTGACGTAATCTACGCGGGAGAGAACGCTCGCTTCGGTCAGCCAGAAATTAAACTGGCCACGATCCCAGGCGTCGGCGGTACACAACGACTAATCCGTGCAATTGGAAAGTCGCGCGCAATGGAGATTATCCTTTCAGGTACATGTCCCATTCCAGCCCACCTGTGAACGTGGACTTCCCAAACATCCTCACGATTGGTCACTGTAACCTACCCCTCTCTACAATCTCACCACCTTACAACCATGACGCAATCGTCGAAACTCCCGATACTGATAATGTCTCCGAATTTGTGATGTGCTGAATTGTGTCTGATTGCTTAGGTGAATCAATCTCGGCCAAGAAGGCATACGAATTCGGTTTGGTGAGTTGCATCCATCCGGTATCAGAGGTTTTGGAGAAGGCGATTAGTCTGGCAGAGCGAATCTCCGTCCACTCCCTACCCGCGCTGATTACTGTCAAGGCGGCGGTCAATTCAGGTAGGCGGCGTTGCTATGGGCCAATCGATAAGTGTTTAAAATGCTGTAGTTAGTACAGGGCGATTTCATGCAGTTGCCGTGGTCACATTTTCCCATGCAAACCTCTACAGTATTGGTTAAAATTCAAACAAGTCTAAAGCAATCGCACGCTAAGGCCGGGTTTTTACTTGTGAATTCAACAGAAAAAATCAATAAAATCGATTTTCTTACTGGGCCGGCGTTTTGCCAACCTCTGAAAATAGCACTTTAGGGGGGATTGCATTTACGTCCACCCACATGACCTTGCCAGTTTAGCTAATTTGCTTTTTTTTCACAACGAAACGCTGTAATGTAAACAAGGCCTTTTTAAGTAGCAAATGCGAAGGCAACGATCCGCTTTCGAAAAAATGGCATTATTTTTGTCTTAACTGGTTCACACGACCTTCTCATTTAAAAATTTCCACTGTATGATTATGCAATGCTTATGTGTTTTGCTTTATAATATTTGGACGTTGGTGTCCGTTTGAAAAACCTATTTTATCCAGCCTAGTGCTCCATAGGTTCATTCGATGCTCTAGATGTCCTGCTTGCAATAGTTATCTCCAAAACAGTCGATTTTTCTGGATCACGGATTTAGAGTCTGCTTCTTAGTACATGGTTTTCATTTTGAAAGAATTATCGTCTTCCCCGATGTAGATGTCTTGATGAGGGACTAGGACTCGTGTGTGTGTGTGTGTGTGTGTGTGAAAATATATGCGTACAAAGGCGTGAAGGTCGTTGTAATGGGTGCCGGTGTTAAAGCTAAAAAAGCCAAGTAACCATGGTGAAATACGTGACTTGATACGCTGTTCGTGTGTATCTTAGCCAAAAGCCAAGTGACGTTCCCAAATGATCCCATTTATTTAAGGTCTGAGTGACCTAGGGCGCGAGAAACGCGAGTGGTACATTAAGGTTTGAATGAGCCAATAGGATGTGGGCGGTTGATTTAAATTCGAAAAGCGGTGTGTAGAAACTTAAAGTGGGTGGAATGCAAGCTTGTTAGCAGTTTGATAATTATGGTCACAATAATTTCCGTACATGCAAGCTCAGTTTTCTTTATTTTTGCTGTAAAAATTGTGCATTCAAATTGAAACAGTGTTGTTTAAGTTCATACCATCTGCTCTGTAGCTCAGAAGCTGCCCCTCGATGAAGGCTTGAGGATGGAACGAAAACTCTTTTATGCCAGTTTGTTGACGGTAAGAGTTTATCAACTTGTACTCCTCAGAATAGCACCATGACTGCATGCCCTGCCCGATGTTCACCATGAAAGAAGCACCAATCAACAGGCTTCATTTATTTTTAACAGATTTACAAGGAAATAGAAATTATTCCTACCCACCCAATTGCACAGTTTTGGTGAAAGTGCTTGTTGAAATACTTCAGTGCGTCACTGGGATTTTTATTTGCTGATATTTCAGAAGGACTGCAAGGAAGGCATGGCGGCTTACATCGAGAAACGCCAACCAAAATTTACCGACTCATAACCAACCGCTTGTTCAATATGTCGCAATGTCAATATTGTTTCCACTATTTTAACTGGTAACGTTGTGGCAACAGTAATACGATCGTTGTTTAATGCATTCACATCTATCTGTCGGTGAAGAAAGCCATTCATTTAAAATTTTTCCTGTGTTGTTTCATGCTGGTTTTTCAACGAACTTGAAATGCAGTAATATCTTTGGGGCTATCGGAGTTTTTCGTCACCCCTACATATGTAGTTCCATTCAAAAAATCTGCAGGTGACTTGTAGTTTAAATCGAAATCCCCTAACACACTTCTACTGAACTCACAGAAAATTGTTAGTTCTTAATCGACTTTTACTAAAACAATCATTAACTGTCGTTGGATTGATTATGCTGACTAGTCTGCGCTTATTCGGGTTTGGCTAAAATATAACTTCGAAATCGTTTTTTTAATATACTGAGTTGTATCTATGGCAATCCAGTAGGACTGGCTTTAGGGCAGGTGATTTGGTTCCTGCGTCAACATCAATAATCGTTTCTTGTTTCATAATAATTCAAAACTGTTCTGTGACTGTCCGATTTAATTAAGTTTACGTCACTTAAATAGGTAAAATGGATTCCTCGACCTACTTGGATCCCTTTAAGTCATTTTTAAGAGAATATGGAGCTATCTGCGTGAATATGAGATGTTCAGATGCTGCTGTTTCATCTTTTGCGGAGGTTCGCTTGATAAAATTATTTTTAATTTTTGTCTGCAATCGATTCAAATGACCAAAGAAAACTAGGAAGAGAAAGATACGGAGAAGTCGAATTTAATATTCAGTGATGGTTTGCTTCGAAACTGAATGGAGAATGCTTTGAGACTAGGAAAAATAGAACCAGGCTTGTACGAAGGTGGTTGACAAGATTAGCGGAAAGCTTATCTACTAGTTAACGTCTAAGCAGGAGAGATTGTCGGTCCCTTTTTTCGCTCCTTTATCTACCAAAAGAGATATATAAACAACGCATATTATGTAGATCATGGTCATCAGTACTCAAATATCATCAAGTTGAGGTGGTGATGGACAAGAATATCCGCATTACTACAGCCATTTTTGGTCATCTTAAGCAACCTTAGCTCGGGCTCTTCGCAGTTGCAAAGCAGTCCGGTAAATAAATCCTGGATATTTTTAAGAGTGATTAACATGCACTGCATGAAAATTTAGTAAATTTGAAGTAAATCGAGAAGAAATAGTATCTAAATTGGGCACCTAGGTAGTATGGGAAAACTTAACGCAATGCTTATTATCACACGCTGTGCAATATAACGATCCTGAGAGTTGCATATTAGAACGCCGTTTGCAAAATACAGTCTTACAGGTAATTATTCAGAGGGAACGTCCAAAAAAGACAATACAAATGCTCCATGTATTAACATTGATTAGTAATTGAAAATATCAGCAAATATTTGCCGATATTTTGCAAATAGAACGACCGATTCTATAAGAAAAGGGTATGCAATAACCGTCAGTCGCCACGATAGTCATAATCTCTTAGAAGGACCACTACGGAAAATATCGTAATAATGGTTTACATTTTTCAAAAAACTGATTGCTGGTGTATTCTGACATCACAATGACACAAATAAATAATATGTAAAAGTGGTCAGATTTCCTAATCAGCGTCAACTTTCTAAGGAATTAGCTTGCTGTATTTGGATAGTAATGTCCTTGTGTGCTCTATTTTGACTCATGCCATAATGGCATCTCTGAATGTTCAATTATTTAGTGAATCTGACTCATTTTCTGAGGATCTTACTGTTTCTTTAATACAAATTATGCAATTTATGGCAAATTGTTAAAATAGATATATAACTTATCAGCGTAGATAATAGTAAAAAATGTAATGCAAATAATTGCTTACTATTTCCATTTGCTTTGTTTCATGTCACGATTACAGATGGCGCGCAACTTGGTCTCAGACTTGTGTCTTTTGTAATTTGGCTAGCTGTTAGTTTTCGTGGGTTATATATGGACCCAGCCAAAGTTTTCCCTCAGGAGATAATCTTAAGAATTTTGCAGTTTGTTCCTCCATCTCCTGATTATGCTTCCCTTGCGTGTGTTTCAAAACAATGGCGTGACTTAGTCACCCGTATGTTATAATTTTTTTTATTAGCATTATTCGTAGTTGCCATGCGTTCAAGGCTCCACGCTGCAATTGTCTCGCTTCATCGAATCAATGAGTTGCGTTGGCACCCTCTGATTTTGAATATCGATTTAAGTAAGAGATTAGGAGTCTCACTTGCAGTCAATGGCCATACTCTATATATTTTCGGCGGTTGCACACCGGAACTTACTGCAATGAACGACCTCATTACTCTTGATCTTCTTACCTTGAAGTGGATGCGCGTCGCTACTCAAGGTAATGTAATGCTTTTTTCGCTATCTCGTTGTGCTCTGATTACTGCTTCCCTTTACATTGAAGTAATTATGTGGTACGGAATCTATTTTACTTTTTTGTACTACTGTACCGTCGGAAATGTCAGATGTTCTAGCAAGTCCTTGTCATGGGAGGTATTATCTTTCAAATTAATATGTGGAAAATAGTCCCACGCTTCCAAGCAAATTTATCATACGTTGTAGTCTGATTTTTTAAATATTTTACAAAGGAAATGAGCTGACGGAGGCATTAGTTAAAGCACGCAGTGTAATAATGTTTTCCTGTTGAAGTCGCCTGTTTTGGCTGCCTCAGTAAACTAACCTGTCGTGCTTTTGATCCATGAAATTTTTTGTATTTAGGTAATCGTCCATCCCCTCGCGCGTTAGCCATCACAGGATTCATCGGAAACAAACTTTACCTCTACGGTGGATGCCGTTACGTTTTTCAGGGATTCGATAGTTATATATCTTCGGTTAATATATCCCTCACAGTAAGTCAATTCTAGACTCCATACCCGCCTTGCAAATTGATTTCTTGTGTTCCTGTTACATACGAGTATCTGTGCACTTTTCTGTCGTTATGGCTACGTCTTTTCGGTATATAGATTCTCAAAAAACCTTTAGCGGCTGAATTTTTACGTATTTAGTGCGCAAATGATGCCACTTGTTAATTTTAAAGTAATCTATGATTATAAACATAATCGCTTATTATTAGTCGATCTTTAGTTTTCTAAGAATGTGTGGTCCACAAATAATGTAATTACTACTCTAGTTTCACCCATGAATCTAATATTTCTTGGTTTATCTAGGCGCCTACGCCTGTTGTTAATTTGATTTCGGTAAAATTTGAGAGAATCGGCTTAAGTAATCTGTTCATGCGAAAATGCACCATGTAAATTTTCGTAAATGCCAGCGATGTCGCTATTTTAAAACCCGACAATAATTCCTCTCAATCGCACGCAGTTATTCGGTAGTTTCCGCTTAAATTTGATTTCTTATTTCTGTGCTTAGTCGTTGTATTGACTAGTGATCTAGACTGCACGCTGTTTGGTAAATCATCCGGTTCTCAAAGTCCTAGTCAAGCGAACGGAACTGGTGAGCTTTAGTTAACATTTCTCAACACAAAATTGTAGTACTTGGAAATATGCACATTGGTGCTTCGGAATTTTGACGGCGCCATGACAGTCAACAAAGTGGATTCCACATTTTGATTGGCGCAAAACTACTCCCGGAGTCGTATTTCTAAGGTCGGATATTTTCCAGAACCAGTTATAGTAAACAGCCCTGTGTTATTATGGTTAACACTGCTAACATCATTGAAATCACGTGACTAGAAAATCAAGTTGCCATTTAGGCGCGCTTAACTTGGTTTCAAAGCTAACTGTACTTAGACGAAATCGGGCAGTATTTCCCCCACATTTTAGCATCGCCTGGTCTCCGTGAATGACCTCTACAGCTTTTGCCCCAAGTCGAACACCTGGACCCTGGTGCTTCAGCACGAAAAGGGTCCTCCCTTGTCGAAGTACTGTAACGGCGTTTTCCTGCCGCCCGTGGACACCGAATCGGACACCTATCCTCCCCTCCTGGTGCTCTCTGATGGCTCGAATGAGCGAGTCTATCCGTATGCCCTTCTGCCGGAGACGGGCCGCTGGTTCCCCATTCCGCCGTGTCCCCACCGCGCCCCCCCAGCCGGCGGCCCCGCTGGCCACCGGGGTCCGTCCCCCTATCGACCGGCGATGTGCGCGCTGGGCCAAAAGCAGGTCCTTGTGGTGTGTCGCGGTGTCACACAACCCAGTGTCTGGATTCTCAGCCGTAGCGACCGCCGGCCTAATCAAGGTTTGTGCGAACCGCGGTGTGGTAGCTCTTGTGTTGTCAAGCAGAATGAATTCCTCCACTTCTCTTCACTACTTCAAAGTCTCAGTTCAATCAACTATGCTGGAAGTCCTGTACAGCATTAAGAGTATTCGGTCTACTTCTAGTGAGCCTCACAGTGTCGTGGACGTGGACCCAAGTGCGGATGCAGCCTCCCAGTGTCGCATCGGCCGTCCCACCGGCCGATGTCCACCACTCCGTGGCCGTCCCTCTGCCTAGCCTTCGTCCCCAGGCCTGGCCAACCGTGCTGTTTGTGAGCACGATGGGGTCTTCTGTGGTCCGGACACAACTGAACCGCAATCGGCGGTCCAGGATGAATCGCCGCCCGAGTCGTATCGGGGGCCCCGTTCTCCGTTCTCCCTCCGCCTCCTCCTCTTCCCCTAGGGGTCCTCCTTTTCCGCCACCGACACCCAACCCCCTCATAAAGGTGTTTGTTGAGCTTCCCGGTGAGTTCTGCCCTAGTTTGAGATGCATTTTCATTCCGGCGCAACGAGCGTTGTTTGCTTGCTTTTCGACATTGGACTGGTTTTATTTACCCCTCATTCCCTCCGTCTTGGTTAAATTTGGACCTCGCAAACGCTCCCAATGTGTGTGACAAGTTTCCCCTGCGATCGGTTTCCGCTTAACAGCCTGTAACTGCCTTTCTCGGTCTTTCCTAGCACGTCGTAGTGTCCTTGTCGGACGCTCATTCTTCACCACCCTGTCAGTTAGACCTCTCACCTTCAGCAATCACTGGTGTCACTACGTAATTAATGCATTCTGTTCCACTATGGCCCTGTAGTGGCCTCCGTTTTAGCACTGCCTTACAACTCTCTAGTTAACAGCCCGCAACAACCCTTACTATAATCAACTTCGATTGTCGTGTAGACCCAACTCTGCCCTCTGGATCACTAGGCCAGCCACTCAGTGGTGCCATTGTCCGACGGGTCCCCTCTGAGGGTGTCGCTCCGCCTCCATCGATTTCGTCAACTTCGGCCAAATTGCAGTCCCCTGACATCAGCGAGGGCGGTTTCGTCGGTGCCAACTCCTCCGCGTCTGAACGATTGTTGGCCGCGTACGCCCTCTGTCTGCTGCCAGCAGGCGATGAACCAACAGCTGTCGTCGGACATTGGAGCGGTCCTTCTGCCAACTCCCCAGTTCCCAACTACTTCCCACGAGAGCATCGCTACTTCTCCTGTGTCTACGCGCTCGGCTCTCTCCTCGTCCTGGGTGGCAAATCGGTAGACCCGTTGGACACCGACGACCAGAGAACCTTCCAGATGTGGGCTGTTCATGGGAAGAACCTCGTTTGTGGCTTTGCCGAGCACATCTAGGCCTCTTTGTACATATGTATCTTCCTCAAGAGGGCTTTCATTATCACCTTCCTGATAAATGCTATTTATTCTCAGGCTCTCTTTTTGCTCCCCCACTTGACATTTGGTAGCCTCGGGTTTGGTTCGCATAACTCTCTTTATGGACGATTGTTCACTGGAAATTGTGGACTGAACCGACTGCCTGTGATGTCAGTTGAAGTGTGGTTTGGTGGTGCCTGGGCTAGCCACGTGATGACCTCTTAGAAAGCCCCGTGTCTCGTACCCATGTGAGTGTGGTCAAAGTCACACGACGCGGACGCAAGGTGAATAACAAAACTTGGCGGACAACTCTGTTTTTTTTGTTGTCTCGTGAGCTTTCAAGGTCGTAGACGCACGCGGGGTTATTCCGCACGCTCAGACGTGTCTACACGTGAGTTAGCGCAATGGGAACTGCAAAATGCTGGTGTGTCATTTAGCTTGGTTGCTTGATGTCGAGAATGATCAAGGTGGTTGTACGAGGCGTCTGATCCAAGATCAATGTTCAAGAAGGTGCAACGAAGTTTCGGGCGTCGAGGTTATCTTTTTTGGGGGACTGTCAACATTACCAAGGCAACTTCACCCGAGCACAAACTCGAGAGTCACGCCAGGCTGTTGGTCACTCAGTGCCAATCACAGCATGTTTCAAGTATCATGGCGCGTGGATTTGGCCTTGCTAAGAACGGGCACCTGCGCCGCATTTCAAAAAGTAAAAAAAGTGGACAAATCGGCACCAGAATGACTGATTTATGATTGAATATTCTATAAATCACCTGGAAGGTGGTATCGCTCGTAACTTCCAGAATGACATTGTGTCCGAAGCGATTCCCCGAAGAACAATTTACTTCCAGACGATTCCTAATCTTCACGAGACCGCAGTACAGATCATTCGCTGTTGGTCGCGCTGCACCTGTTCACGGTCTCACTGCGCGAACACTGATGATATGTCATCTCTTAGTGGTTGCAGTGATATGCTTTTACGTTGACATTCAATGGTAACACAACGATACTTGGCTTAAAGTACCAGTGAGCCTTCTTTAAGCAACATTATCGAATGAAATGTTACTGGAGGTGGGTATAGGTAGGTTTTAAACCAGTCGCGTGCTGAGCGTCAATTGTAAAAAAAATCAACTCCTCTCCACCTGATTGTGCACCAAATATAACCGAGCTCTATTTTCTCGTATTTGGCTTTGAAAAATGTTAAAGCCTATGCCTGAAAACAGCCTCCTGGTTCGATACGTACGACAGTGGTAGCTCTGACGCTGTCCACACAATCGCTATCGGATTCAAGTGGCTAAAGTACGTTAGGAATGCATCAGAACGGCTAGATCGTGCAAGACTGTGTTTCCTTGACCTAAATGGGCCCTCTGATAATTCTGTCTTATTCACACGATACTTCCACGCGATTGGCCCAATGTTGGCCGCATTAAACCACATCTCAATAAACAGAGGGAGGGAATCATGTTTTGGAATGCCAAGAACAAAAAATCCACCACACAAGGCAAAGCACTACTGATTTTGCCAATCACACTGGTCAAGTCTTGCTTTGACGATGCTCTTCAATAAACCTATCAAATCACATATCAAATACAACTTATGCAACACCTGCGAACGCAGATGAAGCCCATAATTTGTGGTATTTAATTCAATAAACCAATCAATGCATGGTAAAATAATGGTATCATAGTGGGCCAGATTTTGTCAGATCCCTTGCCTGTCTCCATGAACTACTGGTGCACAATTTGTGTTTCAATCCCCCTACTGGTCACCACCACCATCAGCCACAACCTGATTAAAGTGTGGCGAGCACAGTTATCTATCGTGAGCGAACGCAGCAAGCAGTCGTGAGCAAACACAGTTTATTCGATTATTCGTGAATGAACTCCACGCAACTAGCTGCGTTCAGAGACCAGTGCTTAGCAAAGCTATATAAACGCATCTGATATCCTGTACACACAACACACTCCGCTACTGCTTTAATAAACTGGTTCAACTACTCGTCATCTGCATTTTTAGTCTTCTTTTGGTTGGGCCGTGTCAGTGCATACCGACGGCCCTGGTGTGGTGGGTCCATGATAATCGGCATTTCATTTAGTAAACACGAAAATCCGACGTTTTCACATTAATCTGCCCTGTATCAACTAGATTTAAGACCATTAATGTTCCTGATTCTCAAAGGCAAAAGTAGTTTACCGAGTGCCGACTTGTGGGCGACATGCTTAACTCAGGTCATGTTAGATTTCGCCTAACAGAATCCCAACCCACATTTAGCCAAAGACAAACAGACGCATCTATTCGACACTTATAATGAATGATGTGCAGAGACAGACGTTATTCAAAGAAAAATTCAAAGAGTCTATGCAGCACACAAACTGCCAACTTTTTCATGATACCTCGAGAGGCGACAGCGTGAATGACGATAACTCGAATTTGATTGGTTCAACTTAATTATAGAATTATCGTAATAATTATTCAATTGTCGTAATAATGCACCAATTAGTAAATAACTATCATTCTAGATCGATGTGTGCGCAGAAGAATTAAGGCAGCTTGCATTTGATTGGTTCGTCCTAATTAAATAAGAAGCATCTCATTAATTGGCTTGGGAATTATCGAATTAATGCATCAATGCGCAAATAAATTATATCGATTGGCGTTTTTGAAAATGCATTTGCGATTGTGCGCTTGGAGCCGCAGTTCACACAATTACGCGACTCGTGGTGGTGGTGGTGGAGGTGGGCGAGGAGGAGGCGAACGAAGCGAGGCTCTAAAAGGAAAGCGTAGACAAGACTCGTGCTCGGAGAGAATCACGATGAACCACATGATGGAGTGGACATGAGAGGTGATGTGCGCATTCCATCGTGAAAGGCCTGTCAGTCGAGTCAACAGACGATTTGACAAGAGTCGCCTGTCTGGAATACGCCGTCACGGAGGTGAAAGTGGAGAGTGGGATGAAGCGAGTCAGTAGAAGTGACAGGAATGTGCGTATCGACTCACAATACAGCAGAAGCAATCAAGTCAACGAGGCTAGTTGCGATGCAATCAGCGTGTTTGTGTGGTGGTGATAATACAAACATCGACAGAACACATTTTGGACATGTCTACGCGTTCAAGATGTGAGGTGCTGCAGATGCCAGTCGGGTGGTTGGGTGGTTGGTTTGATATTGGAGTTGAAGAAGCTCACTCAATCGACTACAAATCAAGACGCACAACCCCAGCGTTGGAATTATTGTCTCCATCTCCTGCGACAGGCTGCAGCTCGCGTCACTCACTTCATCAGTTGTCAATAATCTTCGATTTACGAATGAACGATCACATTCACAGTGAACTCGTGAATGTGACACTGTGATTGGTTGTTACAGTGAAGACGAAGATCTTTTTTGCGGTGGAAACCACAGTGTATTGGCAAATCTTGCCTTTCCTTCCACCTCCGATTTCGCTTACCCGTCCACCCTTACCTCCTGTGATATCAAAAGCTATCTTGTTCGGGCAGAAATCAGAGCCTTTGTTCTGACAGAGTTGGCCTTCTGAAGCTCCTCCTCAGGTGGTCTTTTGAACATCGTCGAACACGCACTATGCAATCCATAGCAATGCTCACGAGAAGCACCTGTAAAGAGGTTGGAAGCAGTAGCCTAAATAGTAAACCTGGCTGACCCCGAAAGGATTTCAATGATTGCAGTCGACTGTGCGGACGTCTCGGTGATCAGTAATATCAAACTGTTGATATTAATGATGATATGGACAGCGAAATGCTGTGTAGTTGTAAGTTTAAGGAATTTAGTAAGTAAAAACCGGCTAACAAATGGCGTTTTTTTTAAAAAAAGAAAACCTTATGTTCCCCTTTTGTTCACTGAAATCTCGGCCGTGAATGCAAATAGATTACTTAGAGGTCGAGCAGCAGTATTTGTTCTAACACATTGTTTTTTTTTCAATTCGTAGTTGAGATTGTCGTGCCTCCCACACCCAACCAAACCACAATACATTTTGTCCACGTTCCCTCGATGCACATTTTGCGAATGTAGATGTCTGCCCTCCGAAACAGACTGAACGTACTTCAATCTGCATTGTTGTTGATTAATTGTTTCTGCTGTATTCTGAGTAGACACCCATGTTCCTGTCATCTCTGCTAACGATTCATCCTCCTATCCCAGGTCACCGATGACGCACTTTGAAGCATGCCTCCTCGTCTTAGGGCTTCCTCCATCACTCGCCTCTGCGATCCTACTTGCCATGTTCCACGCCTACTGTCTCCTACACGCTTCCTCCACACGTGTTGCACCTAAGGCAATTTTTGACTGGCATTTGGGCTGCTTACATCAATAAAATTTGATTGAATATCTTTCGACTTGTCGAAGTGTAATGTTATTCCTCGGTATGTTGGCACAAAACCCCAAGCTAATAGATGGCTCTCCAAAATAAATAGAAAATTAGTGATCGTGTCGAAGGCCTGACCATTTTGGTCCAGAAAGTCAGCCCTTCGACATGAGGCCAAAAGTGAAAGGTGAAGACGGAAGGGACAGTAGATTTGTATTCAACTGAACAGAACTTGGGTGGATAGATGTCAAAACTTGCAGCATTAATTCATGTTGCCATCACCAACATGAAACTACAAATCTTATTTATTTATTTACTTAAATGTGATTAACAGACCTGGTGGGCATATTTTAATGCTTAGGATGTCCACATAATTTCCAACGGCTATAACTTCAGCCTCATGTATGAAATTAACGTGATTGCTGGTATCCTGGAATACCTTTGTTAAATAACTGAGCTAATGAATAAATTGGTCCAGTTTGTGAGCGGTAAGGAGCAACATCTTCCTCCGTTCCCACACGGAAAGTTGCTGTAGCATAAGCAGCCATTTATTTGTCTGTTAAGTGGGTCTTTGGTGTGCTGTGTGACTGATCAAAATCGAAAACGTGCTCTAATGCCTAGAAGGCACATTCACGGCCAATATGGATCACACCTTATGTAGGCACGCTGACTGCCAACAGAGGTGCTAATGCCGCATTTTTACCATGTTTCACTTTGCAAATATTTTTCGACTACTTGAAATTATCTAGCGGTGCGGGGTGAGTATCCTAATTTCCTTAACCTAGTTGTCATATTAAAACCCATTAAACCATCCCAAAACACAGCAATGTTAAGAGGTACCACACTTTATAATTAATTTATCGTTGGTTCGCTGACGTGGAGGGTTGCCTCACAATAGACGGCAGAAGTCATCCAAGCAAGGATGAAGATCTTCTCGTTGAGTTCGTCGGCCAAGTGGCCACAAGAGCAAATACTTGATTGCAATATCATATAAGGTTACTTAGTTATAAAGATGAAAGTGGTTTCAAAGCAATTTTGAGCGTTCTGGTTGAATCTCACATAGGATCCGTAGCGTCATCGGTAAGGCTTCTTCGATTTGTAACTTGTAAAAATCATGATATAATGCCAGTACCACTGTTTACAATGATATCTGATGAAAATTGTGTGGCTTAACAAAATAACAGTTAAGGATTGCAAAATGTATCTATTTAGGAACCAAAGCGTATCAACGCTTCCTCGAATTCAACTTCTATATTGACACATCCTTATTTCATGGGCATCAATCATAAAGTCGGCATCATTAAGCACCCATCTTGATTACTCACAAAACTATGAATTAACACAGTGCATTTCTGTGGATCAACAACACAAAAACCATGACACCTTTTAGACAAATTGCGATGTACTGCTGTTTTCCAACGCAAATGACGCATTTCAAGACAAATTCAAGACAACACTGACTTAGTACTATCTACTGTGACATGACACATAAATATCATTCTTTTTGGGCTGCAAATCTAATTATTATTACAAAAAACGGATAAAACTGTTAAGAACACAAATCTACCAATAATTAAAAGAATGAAAATAGTTATTAGATGTTAAAAACCGGTACTATTTTGTAACAACGTAATGGGTCATTTCGAATCAGGTCAATATTACCATGCGGTGAGGAAATATAATGCGTAAAGTTAGTAATGACAAAAAGTAAGATAAGACAAATGCTGCTCTGCTTCCCAAACAACATCAAGTGAGAAGATTCACTTCTCGATTGATCGTCGATTCTATATATCTAATGCCTATGCTTGTTATTAAGCAATATTATCAACATGCATTCAAAAGCACTTATACAGGACATATGATGGAACAGTTTAGAATTTAAAGATACAGAACGTCTGAGAGTAAACATATGGCTAGAACCTTGGTGAACTAGTGTCATGAATATTTTAGTTTACGACTTTATTTTGTATGCGTATGCATCACAAATTAATTTTTACATTTTGCTTTAGATCTAAGCATTTCCTTGCATTTGAATCTGCACAAATTCTCACAATCTTAGAACTTTTGGATTAGCTAAAACTTTTCATTTTTGTTTGCCAAATTTCTGTCGGTCTCGAACATCAACGAAAGGCCAAGAATATTTAACAATTTAGTCGACATAAATGTTATAATGCCTGATTAGATGTCTAATGTTGTAAACAAAAAGATGCTGAAATCAATTAGTGAAGCAACCTAAGATAGGCACGAAATTAGAATTTGCATTCTACTAGCATAGTGCAAGAAAATTATGGGAAGTTTGAGAAGGTAATTGCTGCTTTATCCAACGTATTCTCATTTTTACTTTAGTCATTATTTTGCTTCAGTTTTTCATATCTGGAAGCAACGAAATAAAAACTAAACTAACTGAAAATAATTCCTGTCAAATTTGATTAAAATCAAAAGTGCTTGCATTTGTGGCAGTTATCGAAATCAGCATAAAGTAACTACGATTTTAGCCCCTTTAAACATGGGGTAAAAATTCAGTGCACTCATATAATAGGAATAAGCAAACATACTTAATGCATTAGTCTTGTAACTAAAATGTGTGTTATTTATTTGTCTCAGGGTAATTGTCCCCCATGTTAACCAACTAAGCTCTGTTTTTATTGGTTAATAATGTTTGGAAGTAACTTATCTTCCACGCTGTAAAGTGTGATTTTAGCCTTCGTGGTCACTGTAATCGTATGCAAGTTGTGCTTGATCTTACTCGGTTTACTCGTTTTTGGGACAAATTGCGCGTTTTAAAAGCCTCAGAATTGTGTCTAGCATAAATTTAATATTTAATAAAATGCTGATAATATGACAGCTGATTAATCCTAAGTAGGTTTTACATTGTGGGGGTTCCAAAAATAGCTGATGTATACATTTTAATAATGATATAAACTTGCCTCCGACTTTAAAGATACTGTAAGTGTTTTGATGGCTACGTGAACCTTGTTGTGTAAGAGGCATCCGGCATTCCGACTTGTATTTCGAAGGTTTTTAATGAGTGCATCCAAGCGAAAAACGATAACAAGATGTTGCTTTCGGTGAACCTACTTCGGTGGCTTTAATGCCACATTACCTATTTTTAGTTCTACTTTTATGTGACCATGATATTGTTTGGTTTTTGAAAATCGTGGTTGCCTTCGTGGTAGATGGGTAAATTGAGTTCCCCATTCTGAATGCGGTGGTCAAGCACATGATATTTCGATCGCCTTATAAAGTGCACTTGTGCACTTATAAAATATACTTCGATTAGTGCTTGTCCAAATCCTTTATCAAATGTCTCGTGTGATAAGTAATGAACCTTGGGACATTCAAAGCTGTCTTGCTATGTCTGCTATCACTGCAAAGAGAAATAGGTCATGTTACTTAACTACAGTGTTGCTGAATCTTCCAAATTGACCGGCTTTACCAAAATGCTTTTAGTGAAACCATAGCTCCAGTGCAAAATAGTTTTGTCATCGATGAGACGGTTTGTTCCAACAACTATTGTTTGATTTTAGTGAATATGGACTTATTCAGGCGGTACCTTTCAACAACAACAGAGGTTCCTGAAGACGCTGGTGCTGATGTCGTAAGTGGAAGTCTAGTTACATCTCAGATTATGCTTTCTCTTCGTACGCCTAAATGCCTGCTTTGAAATCCCTTCCAGATTGAGACCCTTGTAGATCGTCTGCAAACATCAAGTCGCGTAGAGGATAGGCGTGACTCGATGCGCGCAATTAAAGCTCTGTCCAAGCGATACCGCCTTGAGGTCGGAACTCAAGCCATGCCATCTTGCATAGAGGCTCTTTCTCGTGATAGGTTAGTGCCTTAAGCCAATCAAGTTGGTCCACTATCCTGTGTCCCCTTAGTTTTATTAAATTTTCGTTGATGTTTTTATGATATACTGTTTTTTCCGCATTTGTTCACGAAGTGAGGATTCCGACACCATATCGTATGCTCTGGATGCCCTCTGCAATATGATGAATGACGAGAGAACTGATGTCGATCCTCGTGAACTTGTCAACATTCCAGCGGACCTGGGGAAGCAGTTTACTGAAATCTTTATAAAAGAACCGGAGAATGTGCAAATCGTCCTCTCATTTCTTTCTGTAATTTTCTTGTCCTCCTCTATCTTGCAATTAATTTTTGACAATTGAAGGCACACTCTAGTGGTGCTCTGCTTCTGGTTTAAACGAAATGACACTTACTTGACTTGCGCACTTTCAAAACCAATAAACAAGCTTAAAATTCGGTCACGCTAATGCAGCTCATGCTCCTTTTTTTAAATTTCAGTCTTACGATATGCACGTGAGACGCCAGACAATTCATTTGTTGATCTTGATGCTGCAGAACAATCGAAAGGCTGTTCAAGATTTGCTACTCAGTTCGCCAATGGCTGTCTCCAAGTTCATGGCTACTCTTTCCGATCCCATGGAAGTTATTCGAAATGATGTAATGCCTAAAAAATGTTCAAGTATTCTCCTGATTCATGTTTTGTTGCCCAATTCTTGCTTATCCTCGATTAATAACCCTCAATGCGTCAATGTGCCTAGTTATAAGTTTCCACGAAAAGTACAAGGAAACACCTCTTTGCAGAATACACTTAAAAAATCTCATGCCGATATCTACTCTATCACTTTATTCCAGGGCCTTCTGCTTCTGCTCTACTTCACAAAGAATCACACGACTATTCAGAAGATTGTGGCCTTCGAAAATGTCTTTGAGCGGATCCTGTCTATTGTCGAAACGGAGACGGTTGGGGAGGGTGGTGTTGTGATTGAGGACTGCTTCCGCCTTTTGCATCAAATACTCGCTGGTAACCAGCAGAATCAAATGCTCTTCAAGGACGGACGGTTTGCTCAGCGCCTCGCCAAAATCTTCGAAAATATTCCGCTGGAACTGGAAGAATCCTGTGCGTGGTCAGCGCAGAAGCTGGTCAACGTTAGTTGGCTCCTGAAGGTTAGTGTTGCTGAGGCATTCAATTTTCTTATCCTGGAAGCCCAGCGGCTCCATCGCCTGTCTCTGAGTTGTAGCTTGACGAAAGTCGATTAGTTGTTTTTTAGACTTAGACTTCTAACGATAACGAACAAAAATCACTTGATCTTAGCGTAATTGATTTGGCTACCTGAATTCCTATTCGTCCCTGGCATCAAACGTCAGCCCGATGCTAGCATTTCCGCAAATTCTATGCTTGGATTTAACCGTTTTTGTCTTCCAATTCACCCCGTACGTTACTATCACAAATGCCGCGCATTTTGTCTTTCCGCCTTTTGATTGGACTGTTTCCACATTAAGCGGGCCAATCATTGGCGTGCTTCAAGGTCATCTTGGTCATAACTGGCCTAGTTGCACAATTTCTCAGCGCCGTGTCTAGGTGTTTAAAAGTTCATTTCTCTGCCCGAAAAAATTAGCTTTTGCGTCGCTGCCATTAACTAATTTCGACAAAGCACTTGTGATTACTTCATTCACACGTGATGGATTCCCCCAAGATAACGGATTTTCTAGAACAGCTGATTAAACTGCTGGAAGTGCACTTTGATTCAACTGGTTCTGCCCCTAAGTCGTCCGTCAAGCTCACTCCACAGTCGATTAACGAAATTGTTAGCAGTATTGCTGAATTTGCCTACAACCCAAGGGATCTGGAAGGGTTTCGAACGTGGCTTTACCGTTACGAAGACGTCTTCCGAATTGACCTAGCTGGACAAGATGATGCGTGGAAAGTGCGACTCCTGCTTCGCAAAATTGGCCCAGCAGCGCGGAAAATTTACCACAAGCAAGTTCGTTCACTGCGCCTGCGCGATCGTTCGTTCGATGAGACGGTTAAGTTTTTGAAACACATATTGGGTGACCGTGCTTCCCTCTTCCAAGTCCGGTATCGCTGCCTCAACCTGATCATAAACGAATCTGACTATTTCCTAGGACACCTCGCGACTGTCAATCGGGAGTGTGAACGGGCCGATCTGAAATCGATGACTGAGGACCAATTCAAATCCATGATATTAGTATGCAGCCTTAAAGGCCCGAAGTATACCAGCATCCGGAACTACTTGATTGACCTTCTCAACCGGTATCCGTCAATATCATTCAGAGTAATCACAGAAGAGTGTCGCCGGTTGATCAAATAAAGCGCGCGTCACTTTACCTTTTCCGTTTTTGTCAATGGCACTTAGTGCCCGAATAATGGGTAGAGACAAAAAAAATTTTCAACGATTTTGTCTTGTTCTCTGTGCACGAACAGTCGGGCTCGAGTCTCAGATCGTCTGAGCTGACGGGGTGGATTACCTATTAAGATAAAAAAAAGAATCCAACTTAGATTATGGTAGTTGAGGCGTCTCCGTTGATTTCTACAACACCCACGATTAGGGTTATGCGCAGCCCTGTATCTGTCCCATTCCAGATTTTTCGTGCTCTGGTCTCACCTAACAACAAGTCCCAGCATGTCAGGAGTTGCCAGGTCGAGATGCAGGCCTGTGGTTTGTTGAACAGCCTCTGGAAGGTGATCATGGCAGGAGGCGTGCCCGCGGACCTCCTAACCGAGGCACTTTACACCCTTGGCGAAGCGGTCCGCGGATGTCCCAACAACCAGGAGGCGGTCGTGGCTATGGTCGCTCCCTCGGAGCCTCCCCAACCCGCTATCACGGTTCTCCTCATTACTATGGTGAACGAACGGCAGCAACTCGCCGTCAGGATGGCTGTGCTCTACTGTTTCCAGTGTCTGCTCTCAGGAAACAGCGATATCCAGGCCAGGGTTGTCTCAACACTGCTTCCTAAGCGCACTGAACGTAGGTCCTATGAGTAATTGACTGCGTACCTTAACAATGCCAACTGACAGAAATTTGCCAAACGCAAGCGCTTACCGTGTGGTTTCTTATTACGTGTCTTTAGCCTGTGTGGTTGACTCGACTAATGCAAGTTAAGTGCATCGTGCCCAGCTGTTGTTGGATCAGCTGATGGCACAAAGTTGGCCGAATCCGCTAAATGCAGCCTGAATGTGTGTTTGTAGCTTGCGTGACAAGTGCCGGCCAACTTCTGTGTGGAGGCCTATTCTCGCAGGACTCGGTGACGGCCTGGTTCTCCGCGATCGCCATGCTCCACTCGATTTACCAGAACCAGCAGTTGAAGGAGAGCCTCCTCCACGTGCAGATGGCTCCTGCCTCGGGCGGCGACGCGCCAGTCAGCCTCATGCAGCAGTGCTTCCGACTGATCTGTCAGGTGAGCGCCAACATCCCCCCGGTCTCGCCATTCGTTTGTTGATTTTGTCTGAGCACCCAATTTCTCCCTTTTAAAGACTAACCGCGTTCAGGCGAAGGTCGGTCTTCTGCAGTTCCTGTGCACGTGGATGTCGCACTGTCCGGCCGCAGTTCATGCCTTCTTGTCCCTTCGTTCTGGCAACAACCACGCTCACCAGCAGCAGCAGGACTCCTCCACAAAGAACAACAGTGTCGGCACCGGTGCTGGCCTGTCGCACCTCATCGCGGACGTCCTGTCCGGCGAGGGCGAGGAGATCGACATAGTGAGCAGTCTCTCCGCCATGCTGATCGGAATCTGCGTGTGCTACAACAACAGTGCTGTTGAAGGATATGACGGGTAAGCGACGACTCTCGCCTTCACCGCATTAAATGCGGCGCCCCCCTCTTGTATCCACGCTGTCCTTTTTTCTTTCAGCAAGTCCCTGATCAGTATCATTGATAAGCGCATCGGCGTCGACGATCTGGTCAAGCGGGTCGGCCAGATCTTCCGGTCGGACGAATTCATTCGTGTAATAAAACACCCAGAACTAGAGGCCTCAAAGCCCACCGATCTGGTCTTCGACTTTGAATTCACTCGGCTTTTCAAGGAAGTCGAATGTAAGACCTGTGTTTTACTGCTCCTCTTGTTGAATCTTTGACCCCATGGCAAGGATGCAGGTGGCCAATCGCGCGACATTTTCCCCATTTTTGACCTATTTTTTCCTGTAGTTGAAGTCTCGACCCGCTTCCGTCGGGCAAGCAGCCAATCAGAGGAGGCCGGGGCCGATGCCAATGCCCAGCACGAGATGCTCCTGGCCTACCAGAGAGCCCTGGCTGAACGCGACGCCGCTCTGCAGAACCTCCAACTGCGTGTCATCGAACTCGAGCGCCAACTCGCCTGCGCCCATCACGACAACGGCGGCGGTCAGAGAGGCGCTGAGCACGCTGGTAAGAAGTCCTTTCGTGCCTGAGTGGTCACGGCACTAGTTGGATGACTAACAGACGTCGCTGACGGTGCTAGCTATTTTTGTGGCTAATTGTCACTCATAACGTTATTTAAACCGTGCATGACTGAAGCTAAACACCCTCACTTGCCAACTCACACAAAAGTTGTCCTCTTTTTTGTGTCTAGCAGATTCGGACCTCCGGGGTGCTTTGGTGAGTCACCTGGCTTTAACGCCGCAACACCAGACGTTAGTGAGTGTTGACTTACAAAAATGTGACCATTTCAGGCTCAGACGTCGGAGAGGCTTCAAACCGCAGAAAAACGCATTGCCGTACGTCTTACTATTGGTGGTATTGTCTTTGTGGACAGGAAAATTGTAAAAGCTTTTTGATTGGATCACACCAAGGCCGCCGCTTTGTATTGGTCCAATCACCCAACACCGGCACCCGTGACAATTAAGGCAGCTCAACCTAGTTGTGTTGTTGTCGTGTGCGGGCATGTGGTCTGGGTGAACAAGTAGTGGCCAGATGAGTGAAAAGGGTATCGGGAGAAGTACGTGCCGACGGGCACACAGTAAAGGGGGGGCAGTGTTTCCAAGTCTGCAGAGATTCACCAGAGCTTGTGGATTGGCTCAGCTAGAGGTAATGACCAATCAGAACCTTGAATCTCTGATATCACCAAACACACGCTCTCGCATCCGCACCAGTCAGCACATTTTCGGATTTTGAATTCTTTAGGAGCTTGAGGGAGCATTGAAAACTGTCACCCAGGAAAAGGAGACTCTCAAGTCCGAGCACGAGGACCTGCTGCTCCTGCTGAGCGATCAGGACACGCAAATCACCAGCTTAGTCGCCCAGCTAGAGAAGGTTTCTACCCAACCGCAAAAAGTACGTTTGCGTGAGTTTGACCACCTCTTGTTTGCTCTGGCTAGTGGCGTTTATTTAGAAAGTCACGATCGAATCCACGGAACACGAAGTGTTGTGACTTGGTAACTTTCACGTCATCTTGCTCCCTTGTAGTTCCTCCCTGTTGCCTTGTAGTCGGTCGCACGATGAGGTAACGACGATTTAGGCAGTGTGTGTGCATGTTGCAAGGCATTTCTGCACGTCTTTTTGCTCTGAGTTTGTGAAATTCACTCGAAATGCGCATAGTGTAGCCGTGGCAGAGGTTAACACGCATCGTGTCTTAGGAGACGGAATCGTACTGATCAATTTTTCCTCCAAGATCAAATCCAACCGGTTCGTCTAGAAATCTCCTTGTTCGTGGCTTCCGCATGCGCGCACATTTCACTGCTCTGGCTGGGTGAATTCCAGCCGAGGTGGTGTAGTCTGAACACGAGGAAACTCGTGAGTGTTTGCCGAAGATCTATGCATGGAAGGAGAGGAAAACAACGAAGACGACGGTTCACTGGTGATGAACTCCGCTAACTCTCATTTCAGGCTCCCAACGAACACCAACAGACATCGCCTTCAACCCATCCGCAGCTGCAGCCGGAACAGACGGTGCCTACTCCTCTTCCTCCTCCTCCTCCTCTCGCCACCTCCTGTGTGGCCCCCCAATACCCGGTTGGCGGTTACACGCCTCTACCAAACCAGACGAACCCTTTCGAACGCCAACTCGAAAACGAACAGATCCCCTCGTCCCAAGCTGCCTTGTCGCCTCCTCAACACCAACAGCAACAACCCGTTTTCTATCCCAGTGCCTCAAGTGACGAACACATTCGCCTCGCCTTCGGTTGAACACTAGTCTCTGCTCTGTGTATAGTCCTCTTGTTGGGATTTTGTGATTTGTTATCCCCTACTTCTCGTTCCTGCCTCTACTCTGAGTTGCATTGCATTATTGTTGTGTGGCGTTTGCAAGTCTTTTAGTGTTTAACCGCAACATTGTGGTCGGAAGTTAAAACAGTATGTTCGGTTGAGATGTCGGGGTTGGGCAACCTAGATGGTTATTAATGAGTTTCGAACCAGGCTCGGACATTCGAATCTAGCTGAACCCTAGCTCGAAGCAAAAGGCGCTGCCAGCGTGAGAGGTAGATCGATTCGTTTATTCCCTAGATTAATTTTGTGCTCTCCTGTCTTACAAAACGATCGTTAAAAAGGCGGGTACTGCTAGCTGTTGTATACTATATCCGATTGTTGGCCATTTGGTGAAGGGCTGAGCCATCGCGATGCCGGAGGGAGTGGTCGTAGTAGTCCGGTGTGCTTGAAGTGTCTGAAGTGGGTTCATTTTCTGGTTGGGGTGGAGGTGGGTGCCTCTACTCGCAGGCTAGTTTGCCGGTCAGCGAGGAAATCGCGATGCCGAAGGCCTGCAGAGCTGTCAGCGGGTAGGTGTAGTCCATTGTGAAGACGTCGCTGGAGATTTTGCCAAACTGCATGAGGATGTTCGATTCTTAAAGGCAGAGACAACACGCATCCCGTTTAGTGATTGCTAAGACCTACGAAGAGGACAATGCCTACCACCACACCCTCCCCTGGGTTGTACAGTCGAAGTGGATCAGCAAATCAAGCAAAAACACTGAGATTGTCTGTCACGTTAGTCATCTTGATCATGGATCTGTGCCAAGTTTGTACGAGATCAGTGAAACCCAGTTTCGTGAACCGCACCCCCTGCTCTTAGTGATCAGCCGCGTAATTGTGCGAGGTGTTCTCGTCCATTGGGCTTCACGTAAAAAAAGTTACTCTCACTTAGCAGTTAATCAAACTAGGACAGAACTATTTGCCTCACCGTCCTCCTGGTCGATCAGCTGGAAGTTTTTCACTGACGGCTGCGTCACACGGCCGTGGAAGTTGAGAACGTAGGATTGCGTTCCTGTGGTGGAAAAAAACGCGTCAACAACCAAAATTGACAACTTGAACACACAAACTGCCCACAAGAAAGTACTGCTTTTCTGGCTAGCATCTTCTCCGTATAGTGTGTCTGAATTATTTTATTGCTCGCTTTGGGTGGTAGACGTCGCTAACACATTAATTCCTAATAATGCAATTGAGGCATTTTCTGTGCTATTTCAATAGGCTTCCTCTCGTTGTTTTACTGCTCTGGATAGTCCTTTTGGCGTAATTTTAAATTTGAATAACCAGTAAGAGAACAATCGCAAGACTCACCTTCATTCCACATTGGTCGTTTGTTATGAAGCTCAATAACGCTCGAGGAAGCATTTACCTCGTTGAGGTTCGCCTGGGTACTCGATGTTGGCTAAATAAATCAATAAGGATAAACAGTAAACGACACAAATGCAATGATCCAGACACAAACGCACCACGTGTGGGTTAGGTGGGTTGCGATGTTCATCCTCCCTCGGCAGCAGCACCGTCATCCGTCGTGGACCCTTGAAGCCGAGGATGTTCGCCTCCTGTGCAAATGAAGAGCGAAATGAACACTGAGTCAGGTCGAATGTTTGTAGCGGATTAACTGCGATCGGGTCTGAGTGGACCCTGTTGAGGTACCTGATGGTGACAATGACTTATCTCCCTTTCCATTGGTTACTGTATCAAATGCCTATCATCCGTTCAATCATCCACACACTTGGCTGGCGTAACGCTAATAAACGGTCGTGTCCTCTGTCGCCTCTCCTTACTCCATTCTCGAGTTGTTACGGGCTGTTAACTAGAGGGTTGTAGGGTAGTGCAAAATCTCCATTTATTACAGGTTTTTAGCCTGACAGGAATTCGAGTCCCTTGTTGTGAATCGTGTTTATTCACACCCCTTAATCCAGTCGCTCCACCTCCTACACAGGGTTCTCCTTTTCGCAGTATGTCGCCAGCCGCGCGGTTCCTCAACTTCTCCCTCATTCCCACAAATATTTATCTTGGATTATCCTCAGACCTAGGTCTCGATGTTAGTGCATGTATGACTCACACATCCGAGGTATAAATACACACGCGCAAACCCCACACATGACACAACGGCACCAACGTGGTTGATCTGTGAAGTAAACGGTTGTGTCCACGTCATCTCCGGTCTTTTTCTTCATCGCGGATATCAGGGAAACGTAATCGGACCAGGGTTAATTCCGTGGCCCCGGCATGGCTCAAGACCACACGCGGGGGCCCACAATGCCCTCAACTAGTCCATACTAGTATTCACCGCTCAGAAAGTAAATGTCACCCACAGACCTTTTCAATGCGGTTAAGTTCGCTGTAGGCATGGCAATCTCTATCATCAATTATGGAAACAAGGGGTCGCCTCAGGTGAGGTCAGTTTCTCAAAAGGATCAATTGTACTTGTGGTCAGCGCGATCAGAAATAGATTAACGCAAGTGAACACATAGCGAATCACTAATAGAACAAAATCAGCACAGCCAATAGTAAAGTAGAAAAATACTAGCATTTGTTTACATACATCAGGTGTGTTGAAATCTCGTGGTTGCAGGTAGAAATGCCACAATCGGAATACCTGCACCGGTCATCAAAACATGTACTATCATTTGAAATCTTAGTTTTATCCATTAAAACAAAACTGAGGTTTGTTTGTAAGGATTCAAACTGACTAACATATGTCACAGCCGCAATCTCCTTTGAGTTGTCGCCCAAACCACCAGAAACTGAGCAGCAGGTGTCGTGGCGGTTGTAATTCCTGCAGCTAGAAAGGACGAAGCGCGTACCGAGGAAATTGGAACGCAGCCTGCCGACAGTGAGGCTGTGGTCGGAGTTGGAAGAGTCCAGAGAGTCGGCGGCGTCCAGGGAGATGGCGTAGTTGCAGTTGGCTGCTGCGCGTCGCCTCCGACGCGCTGCCAGGAGGAAAAACCGTCGATTGTCCTCCTCGCGTTCGAGGTGCAAGAAGTAGTTGGGAAAGAGGCCTCTCTCCAAACCACGCTTGTCACGGCTTATCCGGCAGCGAACTGTCACGCCCTAGACAAAATTACACAACGAACATGTGGAAGGTAATTCAAATCATACGGAAGAAATAAGGTCAAAGATTAAACGAAATTTGTAAGTCTTTTGAACGTGACTGATTGGCCGGCTAAAGTACGTAGTTTTATTTTTTTAAAAATGTTCTCGAGTACCAAGGCCAGCGGGCCGTGATCATTTAACTGAATTAATATATAAAATCGCACAATTGTGAATGTCTCAGGCGACCTTGACTGCTATTGAGGCGGATTAAAATTTCAGCGCCCAAAGAACCAATAAGATTCAGGCGGTCGATATGAAGATTAATGTCGTGTGCATGAACACGAATTGATCGAGCAAGGAATTGCAACGCCTTGTGGAAAACAGCAAGTGGCCGTGTTAAGATGTGCATTGACACCAATGTAAGTACCTCGTATGATCTTTTGATGGCTTCTAAGCCAGATAACGTACCCAAAGCCGGGTGAGCCAATAAGATTTAGGCGGTCGATATTAATATGAAAAAAGTGGTGTGCTTGGAAGGGAATCTTAAGTGAACAAGCACCTCTTCGAATTAAACCATACGAATTCAATAAGATACGCTAAATTATTTATGTAATTATAGCGTTTTATGGCAAATTCGATAAATCGATGGGTGTTGGGGATATTAACATTTCCCAAGACAACTAAAATAATACTCATCACTCAGTGTTTTTGGCTCAACACACCAACGTCCGCTTTTGGCTCCGCCTTGTACTCGAAGCCTTGGTCTATACCGTAGTGCTTAATGCTTTGCTAACTAAATCAATGATTGTGGCCGCAAAACTGGTCTCATCGCTTACTTTAGGAGCTGGACTTCTCACGAACTCCTCCACGTCGTCCCCAGCGTTGAAAATTCGCGTTATTTTTGACCTGACGCCCTCCTCGCCCTTGTCCACACCCTGGCTTGACCCCTCCTAGCAACACAGAAACAGATTGTCGGTGGTTAGACCTTGAACCACAAGGAGTTGATGAGGCAACACAAAACCGTCGTAACATCCGGTGAACAGTGAAAGCCGCCAATCAACTTTTACCAAAACAACGTCCGCCGTCAGGCCGACATCGTGCTTCCCAGGCTTCTTCTTCTTCGTACAATCACCATCGACCGTTCGTGCTGGGGAGGTCTTCGATTCCACAGCTTCGCCATCCACATTCACGGGCCTGCTGGCTGTGTGATGCGGGCCCGTGAGCACTTCAGCAGGTGGGCATTTACGTGGGGTATCGTGGAGCACCGAGCTCACTTCTGTGGATTCCTTGTCACCCGTGGAGTCCACACGAAGACCGCTTTCGTGCCTATACGTGCGTTTGTTAATCTGTGCAAACCGATGCAAACACGTAATGACACTCCGTTGTTTGACTGCACTAACTGGTCAAGGCCAAATCAGGCATTAGGGCAGGTGTGTGAAGAAAGCCTGAACAAGAGCACTGAGATTGACTAACCCTGGCTGGAATGTCCCTAGACTGCGGTTTCTCTTGACGTCTCACTCTCACCGGCTTCTGGGTTCTTTGCGACTTCTTACTTGTGCCTGTTTTCGGGCCACTAGGTGCCTCTACGGGGCTCGGTTTCTTAACCCGCCTTTTCACTGGCCTGCCCGCCTTCTGAGCGCTTACTTCTCTGTACCTCGAGCTGTCTGGTTGTGTTTTTTCACGCTTAAAAAGGCAGCAAACATTTATGTAGACAGGAGTATTGCACTAAACCTACCGCACGCAATCAAATTAATTAACTTTACGCGCTTGAAAAACCACTTTTAAGCACTCCGGCCAGCTACCAAGACGGTTGAGCTTCTTGGCTTGAGGTGGGGAGCGTTAGAACGACCAAATAATCTTGACCTAACAACAGTGCTGTTGGTTACTTTGGCAAATTAAGTAGTGTGAAACGGATCGTGGTTGTTTTGCTACGACAAAATTGGCAAAATCTGGGGATTAAGTGGTGGCGATTCACGAGTAGAACATGGCCTGCTTGCTCTCTTGCTTGACTAACATGGTGTGGATAAATTTTTGGCCAGAATAGGGGGAAATGAGGTCAAATCGTGTTTTTTTTCCACGTCCATCAGCTATCTACATCGCGTATTCACACACCTAGACAATTCTTCTCTTTCCGTGTATCTAATCGACTCCTCGCAGGTATGACGAAATGACGCTTTTAAATGCTGCTTCGTGTTGTATTAATACAGTATGCTAATTGTATGGCACATCGCAGCATTCACATGGGATGGAAACGTTTTCCAGTAATAATCGATCCGTTGCAGCATTGAATAATATTGATTTTGCCAAAAAACCTGTTAATATCACCGACCCCGGCAAGATGACCTGTATTGATTGCTTCGCAAGGTCACTAATAGGCCCTACAAGTCCTGCTACCGAACACTTCACGGTCAGGTCCCCCATCGAGCTCCGCAGCCTCATTTTCTTCACACTGATCGTCGGATTGGTACTCTGGTTAGCGAGTCCTGCTCACGGTCTAATAAGTAGCATGGGTCTAGTTACACAGTGGTGCTGAAGGTTCGGGGGAGAACACATCGAAGTCCAGCAACTCCTGACAACCTACCCAATGGAACGACACACCACTGGTCGTAGAAGGTGTGACCGACCAATCAGCAATCGCGGAGGCCGGAGACGCCTCTACCGAAAGCATATCCACATCATCGAGATCGATGAGGTTGGCCTGTTTGCCACGGGAACTATGCATCGCCTCGGCAGCACTGTGCGGTCTGAGTGCGGCCGCAGGTTGCCGCTTTCTCGTGGTCTTCGTTCTGCGTCCACCGGCCTCCCGTGTCGTAGACGTCGTCGCCACCACCCTCTTCTTCTCTCCTCCATCCTCCCCCTCCTCTCTCTCGCCTTCGTGGATGTCGACGAGGGCTCGTCTGTCAGGTCCTGCCAACGGTGACACGGGAAGGGGCAATTTCATTGGTCGAGTGGGTGGAATGTGGATCGCCTGGTAGGTGCTGGCGGTTTTCGAAGCTGCATCCGCCGAACTGACCCGTTGTGTCAAGGCAGACGCTGATCTCACTGATTTATCTGAGTCAAATTTGCGTAAAAGTGTTTGACAATGTTGCAAAACGATATATTATATGAGGGAAACAGGATGGAAATGACCTTGCCGACAGTGAAGGTCGTAACCCTGACGAAAAACACACAGAACCATTCTGGTAAGCGGGAACATTTTTGAATTCTAAAATGAATTTGCATAAACAATTTAAAATCTACTACTAGAGTTCTAAAAAAAGGGCTCTTTGATGCTGGAATAATGGAAATAACATTTCAGTTTAATAGCTTAAAATAAAGTCGCTCCCTATGGACTTGTCTGATTATGAAATTGCATGACAAGTAACTATGGCAACGAGTGACCCCACGCAAATACAACAGCGATTGTAACATTTATCAGGTAACTATTGACTAATCCGTTGTTTTAATTTTGTCCCTCGCTAAGCGCCACTAGCGATTTACTTAATGAACGATAGTCATTTGTGCACAAAACCAAACACCCAAGAAATATTACCAATTTTGGAGTTGGACAGGTTTACTCGTTGAGCCATCAAGTGTCATTATTGAATTTCGCATCACACTGCAGATGTCAAATTAAAACAAAGTTTGCATGAAAGTGGAAGCATCAAATTTGCTAAATATTGTTTGATAGTTTTGCCGTTCACATAACTAGATGCCTCAGCCATCATCAGACATTCCTGAAGTCGAGGTGTTTCAAACCAGTCTGGAAATGTGTTGCCCAAAATCGGGTTTAATCGATAGTTTTTTGTTTAAATTGACCGGATCTTTTGGAGTGGAGTTGAATTGAAATGTAGAAGAGACCACGTAATTGGTCCATTCTTGTGAAGCGCCCTATTTAATAACGATATACCACTTGACTGAAAACGAGCACTGCTGTTTAGTGCGGGTGAATTTCCAAAATATGTGATCCTGAGCGAAATATGAAACCTACAAGAGCTTGATCAAGTCAAAATACCGGTGATGTTGCATCGTTGGTTTGTGTTGCCAAGGCAACGCAGACATATTGATATGGTAACCAGGATTTGGCGACGACGCAATGCGAGCAAAATAATCCCAGTTAAAAAAACACTTTACCACAGAGAGATTTCAGTGTGATTTCTTAATAAACTTAAATTGACATCCTTGAATCGTTCGCCAATGTCTAACCTTTTGCTTGACGCAAGCTGTTGAACAGCAAGTTGGAAGTCACAGTCTTCCTTACGCAAGTTTGCCTGCAAACTTCAAGCGTTTTCAAGAACCAGATTAAATGCGACTTCTTTCCATTTTAAGTATCTGAGCATCGGGCTCATTTGGCACTTCTAGGCGTTGGTGTCGCAAAGATGGAATCTAATCTGAGGATGAGCATGGAATCACCCCCTTTTAAGCTGGAAGACTGTGTTGTTTGAGAAGGATTCGAGAGCAATTAGCACCGCCATTGCGTCGAGATGAATCAGTTACTGTCTTTAGTCCATTATCTCCAGTGTCTTCTGGTTTTTGTTTCTTGGGTGTGGTCAACGCATATGCTATATTTACCGTCATTGGCACGAAGTGCCGGCCTATTACGAAACACTTTCGACCAGCTGTACTGACGGAAGCAACTCCAAAATTATGCTACAATGCGGATATCTGGAATCAGCTACTCAGCTTCACGTAGCACCGAAAACAATGTCTTGTGATAATTTCCAAAAACCGCGAATTTACTAGAAATGACTTGGCAGAAGCCTTCCTGCAAGTCCCATTGGTGGATGAGAATGAGCCAATGAAATGATGGAGCCTGATTCTTTTATACATAATTCACTGTATGTCTTGATCAATAATGCAAGCACATGGATGACAAGCTTTTGGCCCAAGCATCTCCAGGATGAATATGCCCCCTGTGGTTCGTGTCATCGGTTTCCGAATCAATCTACATTGTGCCCAGTTAAAGGCATCTCATTTACGATTTTTGTTTAAATTAAATGACGCAGGTATCATAATCACATTAGCCGACCGTTTAAAAGACCCGGTCTTTTTAAAATCTGAGCCCTAACCAATCAGGATCTCTCCAAACCAATTACTGCCCTTGGGAATCTGGTACAGTAATCGCATCCCGTAGCTGCTGGCGCTTCCTTATTCGAATGGGACCATATCCATTTTAGTAGAATGGCAACGCCAAAATTGCTGGAAAGCGACCTAGCGAATTGTGAAGCAGTTGATCTCTACACAGAAGGAAGATTCCACAGCCAAGACAAGAGTAATTTAACAGTTTGCAGTTTACCAAGTCTGAGGTTGTTGTAGAAATAGCAAAACCAAATGATGCTTTATCTGAAATTGTGTGCTTGAAGGCGTAATTTGTACATTGGATGGCAAATTTCGTGTACAAATATCATTCGATCGCACATTACGAAGCGTTTGAAGCAGGAAACTACACAGGTTTGAACGCTTCCTGTAGCTTTGGCTTCAGAAGGTGGTATGTGCATCCGAAATTGACAGTCGAAAACAAGGAAGCAGCTTTCATGATTATGCGGAAAATCAATATTAGATTATAACTTTTGATTGGCCAGAAGAAAAACCAGTTTGAGACTTAATAGAAGGTTGTATTAGAGATGGTAAATATTAAACTAAACTCCATTTGAAAAAAAAACCAGTAGAAGTGTTTTTTTTGTTGTAATGTTCCCATTGGATAGAAATTTTGGCGCACCGTGATTGGAAAGAAGTCGATATTGAATGAATAACTTTTAATTGGTCAGGTGACAAGCGCGTTTAAAACTGAAAAGAAGCCAGCAAAGGCGAGAAATATTGTAGTGAAGTAATGAGGGATTTCATTGTGAATGACCACTCTTGTTGCTATTGGCAATCGAACAGTGAAATCTACTATCAATGATGTCGAGTTTCAGCAGCCTAAAAAGCTTTGCCATGAAAATCCACTGTCCCCAGTCGTAGGTTTGAATGGTATACTTTAAAAAGAAGCCGCTAAAGGTCGCTAAATGTGGGGTTTCGTTGTTTTTACCAGAATAAAACAATTAAAATCGTGCCGATTCAGACGCACGGACATCCCCTGCCCACTGTTCGCGCCACCTTTCAATGTAACAATGCATTCAGTTGATCAGAAAAGGCGTTCCCAGTGGGTTATAACTCGCGTTTTGCGCTCAACAACACGTGAACATTGACACCGACTTACCAGAACGAGCTACACCATCAGTGTTGTCCTCGCTAACTCGTAGAATTTGAATCGGAGGATCAAGGAGGTCTGGATTGCCCAATTCAAAGGCCTGCGGTCCATCGTAAGCTGGAATTGGAAAGAAAGCAACGACTTCGTCATGCATTGAATTGGATTTTGGTTAAAAATGGTAATATATACAAGAAGGCTTCCTTAGGCTGACTCACTGCGACTTCTAATAAGGCTATTAGGCAAACTGGGGACATGCCACCATGCTATCACCTGACACGTCAGTACGTTTATCGTGTAAGGTTCATGAAATTAGCAGAAAAGCCATTACAGAGCGACCGGGAAAGAAATTAAAAGTGCCGATTTTGACCTCACTGACGCCCCCCGTTTGGTGACGCTGATGAGGACACACTGTTGAAAAGCAATTCGACACCAAATTAGGCGACAGCGAAACCAAAGCCCAAGCAATCATTCCCCTCTCTCAGGTCATCACTCTCGGTGATTGGTGCAGGGGCGCTTGTGGTGATTGGTTGGTTAGGCTTTTAGCCAATCAGAGTTCAGAGATCACTCACCAAACTTCTCCGATACGCCTCTCTGCTGACTGCGCGCCGGCGTCTTCAACGCTAGCCTCGGACTCACGGGGTTAGTGTCGAGCAAGGAGTTGAACGACTTGGTGCGCAGTGCGTGGATTTCGAGGGCGCGCTTTTGTTGGCGTTTCTTTTGCATAATCTCGCGTTGCCTCTCTAGCTTGGACTTCCTTTGGGCTGCGCTGGTTACAGACGCAGCATCCATTTCCGGTGGGAAGAATTAAACAACTTTCTACAAAGAAAGAGGCAACCGTCATTGTGGGCGTGTCATGATTCTTGATGTCAGAGCGTTTACCAACCTAAAATAGATTGTTTATTCATCCGAATCTAGGATGCCAGTGATCGGGGTTTTAGAAGGCATTGTACCAATCACTGGGCATGTAAGCGAAGTGTTAAGATGAAGTCCAGACTAGTGCTACAATAATTGCTATGACCTGACCATGGGTAAAGTATAGCGAGGATCGTAAGTTGACGCGTTCACGAAGTTTTGGTGGGCGGAAATCGATTTGGTGTCAGTTCAAATCCACTTTTAATAACTCTGCTGCACAAATCTTTCCCAATTCTGTACACCTATGTATTCACGAGCATTCTGGACACAGACAATGAGCGTCTAGCAATCCAGTCAGCCGTCAAATCCTGATCGTCTCCCGTATTCTAGCTCTGAAAAGATCTTTGACACCAATATGGGTTCCATTCCCACACAAGCAAATTTACAGACGAACGGTAGTTGGATTTCGACTCACCGACTGATTACCAGAGCTCAATCCTAAAGAGAGACTGTAACCGTCTTTGCTAAGTTAGGAAATGCCAGATAAGTCAATCACACACTCAAACATAATAAGTGCACATACATGATCTCTTTGAAATAAAAATAAACGCCATGGTGGGTTTTCATCGTGTTTTATTAAAAAAGAAAGGCTAAACTCTTAAACTTATGTTTTCTTGTTTGTTAATGCAGGTTCGCACAATTGGCCACATGATATTCTAAGCAAATCCGACCAGCCAGAATGGAGATGCACATTTATCGATTTTGCGGTATGTCAGCACAGGTCACGGAATTTGAACGGCGTAGAAGACTTTATCCGGGCGCAGGAGTCATTCATCAACCACCTTCACAAAGGTCTGCATAATTCATACTTAAAATAAAAATTTTTGATCCTAATTTTGAGCTGGATCAAAATAGTTTTTCCGAAAAATGGGTTCTAAAATATGCAAATTTAGGAAGGTACTAACAACTGGACCACGTGGATAGGGATGTTTTTAATATTAGGTCGGATAATTTCAGAAACCATTCAAGAAAAAAAAACAAAATATGTCGCGTGTTTGTGTACGTCAGTTGGAACGCTTTAGTTGCTAAACAACACGCAAATTTTCAGAAATTGCTTTTTTGAGAAGTAAACAATTCAAAAAATTAAAAACAAAGTCATTATTTTAAACTGATAAATAAGAAGAGCTTGCAAGCCCAGTAGTTTTCGTTTACTCAAAAAACAAATAACCCAACCTATTTAGAGTTACCTAAGTGAATTTCATAGGCAAATATCCACCTCAAAATGATAAATTAGAGCCAATTTCTACTAGATTTGCCTTAAGTACCATTTCTCTAAATTATGAATTTCACTAAACTAACACTACATTTTAAAGTGTAAGTTGTCACAGGAAAAGCGTCTTTGAAATAAATGACGTTAAACAATTTGCTTAATTTGTTGCTAAATCTTTAAAAAACTCTTCAGTAAATTAAGGAAGTATGTAAGATATAAAAAACCGATTCGGTCATCAGACAAGCCTAATTGTAGCCTATAAATTGAATCTCTTATTGGAACATGAAATCATAGCCACCTTACAAGCAAATGGCACGCTTGAACTGAGTAACTGTCTTCAGTAATGTGAACAATAAAACCAGCTATTCAGGAGACAAGCCTTAGTTAGTTCAATTAAATATTATGTAACCAACAGGCTAAAGACAAGAAATGGCTGTGGCTATTAGACGGAAAAGCAAACATCAAGTTAGCATTACACGTTTTACGAGATCAATACTTAAGTTCTTAGCTAGCGCATACATTAAAGTTGCAAAAGTAATCTTTTGGTTTTCTAGGAAATTGATCATCATATAAGCAACAATAAGTTAACAGGCATTAAATTGATGGAGCATAATTTCGCTTAAGGACCAATTTTTAAATTAGCCAGTCACACTTAAGCTAAAAGTCCGCAATTATAGTCCAGGATTAAAATAATACAACCTTAACATCTTAAAATAGCTCACACGCTTATTCTACATCGAATTTAAAAACGGGGGCTTTTAGGGAAGAAAGGTCTTGAACGAGGTGAATTGAAACCCATTAACGGATAAAGTACAGTTTACACACATTTAATCACTACGCCTTTTAAATGTCTGTTTATGCATAAGTATTCTCTAATTTAAGGCCAAAATACATGAAATGCAGTTATTTAAAAACGATATATCTAAAAGTATAGTATTAGATGGTCAAAAGACTACAGATGCATCAAGCAAAAAATCTCGAACTAAGTACAAACAGAAATACTTTAATTGAAACCCGATTTATAAAAAATTGGAAGGATAACAGCCGTTTTAGGCATTATTTGAACATAGTAACAAATGAATAATAGTTTTCAACTTATGGAACGATGACTAAAAGGCATTTTGTGATTATGCAGGTGATTTTTCACTAAACAACTAATTTCGAGGTTGACAAAAATGCTAACATGTAGTTTTAAAATAAAGAAAACCAGCAAATGATGCAAAATCGAAAGCCGGCACAACAAAATCCATTTACTATTAGCCCACCAGAAAATATAGGGACACGCATATTTTTTGAAAACATGACTGCTACTGTCACTAAAAAAACGTAAAAGCAATTAACAACGATTTTTGTTTACTATTAACAACAAGGAGGCAAAGTAGAATAGACTACCTGATTTGAATACTTCGAAGCGGCAGGTTTTGATTACGCGCTGAAATTAGCCGTTGGGAGTAAATTATGCGTTTGCGTGATAAAACAAATGGAAACGTCCTACTAATCTTATACTACAGTATTTAATATACTATTTGAAGGTGTTATACTTAAGTGTTTATCATTTTCATAAATCGGTAATTAAAAACTTTACCAGTGGCAATTCAACGTAGTTACATATTTGATGTAATCAATGATGACAATCTTCTCGAGTGGATTGCATTCAGGCTTTAATAATTTCATCATCCAGCATATAATTTCATTTTCAATTGCTTTTTGAAGAATTATTAAAACCAATTGCTTCTACATAAACCGCATTTCATCAATTAATACCCCTTGGACACGTTTTAAATTTAATTCATCTGTTCCACAAGCTTTGACCGAACTCTGTTTCTTTAGTGATTTATCTCCGCTCCTGTCTACGAAAGCAGCATTACTCGAACAAGAACATGACTAGAGACAGAAAAATGTTTGCATACAGCTGGATGCTGTAAAATGCATCCAGTGGCCATTTTTCTTTACTGAAAAATGAGCCTATTTCTGAGTTGGCGATTAAGAAACTGAATACTCGCAGAGAGTTGGATGGAATAACGGCATGCAAAGTTTTAGTTACTAAATGTCTCTTTTTATGGCTTTATGAACTGCGTGCAAATTGTTTTAATTCAAATTTGCATGTTTGCAATCACTAAGGCAGGATCTGTTTAAATCTCATTTCAGTTATAGTTGTCACAGTCTTCCGACGGAATCATGTTATGGAAATTAGTAAATTAGAGTTTAAGTTCCCTGAAAAGATTTATCATTGCCATATCTTTTCGATTGCATGTGATCACTTACTGCAACGGAGTGCTGCAATTAACTTTAAATTTCCATAAAAATGATGCTACAGAACGTTGAGAGTTGTCTGAATTTTAATGCACATTTGTAATTACGAAGATTTCACTTAAAAATTGTGACCTTTCGTTCGATTTAACTGCTTGAAAAATTTGAAAGTGCCAGAAATTTAATCTACTGTGGATGTCATCGTGAAGGAACACATGGTTTCCTTCACAACATTAGTATTTGTTGTACTTCTACCTCTGATTTCTTGTTCTGTGCAACAATTCAACTTGCTACAGATCAGTTTCTTCGGCAAATACCACTTGGTTTGGAGAACTGTGATACGGCGTGTTTGAACGGACCAGTCTATGGATTTCCGTTATTTAAGTAAATTGCAGGAATAATTTTGCTCTGAGAAGCGACTTTTGGGATTTTTGCTGGCAGGTCAGTTCTCTCTTTCCTGCATTCTTTTTGGTTGCGATGCGGAACATGCAGAATCTCGTCAGAATTAGTGGACGCTACATTAAGCTATTCCGGCAGTCCGCCTCAACCTTTACAAATCTCTGAGAAACTTCACCAGCTATTGAGAAACAGAGATTGATAATGAACACTTAGATAAAAGAAGGCACGACCACATAGGCTGGTTAGAGTAAACAGCGACTGCTTTATGGTTTCTTTAACAATAACTACCATGTTTCAATCACCTTCTTCTTCATATATTTACAAGGCAAAATTAGTGAAATTGATATCGAAGCACTGAATCCCTTTAAAACGACACACATCAGGGCCTAAACACACATGTTGTCAAAACCTGGCTGGCGTAGGATGCACGCGAGACGGAGCATAACTAGGAAGATCCACGTTCGAGAAAAAACAGTGGATACGCCGAAGCTGTAAACACGAATTTGTGTCCAGAACCAGCCATCCACAACATCTTTAACTGTTGATGAATTACAGCTAATGTACTCCGACAGCAACTAGCAAATCCACCCCACTTACGAGCAGCAAACCCTACACATTACTCTGAAAATTCGGACATCAACAGGGAATGGATGGTATGCCAAGCACCTACATTTGAATTATGCAGAAACCGTCCTTCGGGTAATCTTAAAGTGGTCCGTTTAAAGTAGAGTGCTCACTACCTTCCGGCGCCTCTGTGGTGAGATTCATTGCCTCAATAATCCTAACATCCATTGCTGATTCCCTGCTGGGGAATAACCTGAGTTCTTTCCAATCGCATTCCACTGTTACCAGAGACGATTAATTCATGTGTTATTCCACCTTCTTTTGACTACAACTGACACCTCCAGGACTTTGACACGACCTTGTAGTGATGAGCAGAGGACGACTGCAGTTATAATGAGGGTAAATACCAGACCTACGACGGATTTTACTCCATCGAAACTAGTGAATCCCGCATGTGCCAAAAGCTTGCCACCTTTTCACAGCTAGGTCATTAGGCGTGGACCAAATAAATCAGGAAAGACGACTTCACTAGCATTTACATATTTGTACAACTTTTAAGTTAGAGACGCTCGCAACTACACAGGTTTTCGCCTGTTGTGTTGCTGTCGCTTGGCAGCAATCTTGGCTTTGAGGCGGCTACCGGCAAGGCCACTGACAGCACCGTGCGCCACGGGCGCTCGCTGGTGAGTGAGTGCCGCGACGGTTTCGTCGCCAGCCAGTCGCCGCTTCTCTTGGTGGCTGACCAACAGGGTGCGCAGGACCTCGCACGCAACGGCCGGTTTGAGTCCAATGCGCGACTGTTGCAGGGCCCACGGGTCGATCACGTCGAGGAGGGGAAAGAGCAAGCCTTGGTTGAGCATTTGGCGCACGCGAGGGCTCAAGACGCTGCGTTCACCGCGTGGCCCCGCCTCCTCGTGCCACTTTCGCTGTCGACCGCCTGACTGAGGGCCCGAGGACTCGGCGATGCGCACGATTATGGAATCGAGGAGTCCCTTGACTGCCCGCGACAACTCAGGACGGAAGTCTGGCTCGTCGGCCCTCAAACTGACCCAGGTTCTGCTCACCGACGCGATGCACGGGCAAACCGCGCACTCAAGGCTTGCAAGCTCATCAACATCGGCAGCTTAACAGGAGTGTGTGGGGACGAGGTGATAAGTGGTATGGATGTCAACGGTCTCCAATAAAACTTAATTAGCACTGCTCTTTCAACATGAACACAACTCTACAGTCACGCCATATCATTGTTGATAATAAAAACTTATCCCTAGTGCTAACTAAATCATCGTACCAGGATCGGTCCTTTGGGTAATACGGTACGAGCTTTTGTCCTGCTCTGGAAACTCCCTAACGTACTAAACAAGGGATATTAATTCCGATTGAGGATGTGCATCTACATATTGGGTAAAACGTAACACGGGGTTCTACATAGTACAAGAAACGCATACACGGTGTTTGTAAGAGCCCTTTTGATGACGCTCTTAATAAACTCGCATTTGATGAAAGTTTGTTCATGCATTTTCCCTATCAAATCCTGCTGATCGATGCGGTGGTGAATCATGTTTGACAAAACAATCACACCGATTACGATAAAAACACGTACCAGAGGAAAGTCGGTCAATTATTGACGTGACACAATCGGTAAGCATTTCTAGGAACCAGTGTGGCGATGCCAGAACATTGGATCGGAAAACCCGTGCGTAGCTGGTCAAGAATTGAGATTCGAGTCCAATGGCTTGGATGAAGCCTTTCAGTGGCATATCCTACAGCGAACGGACAAAATCAATGGTTAGATGAGAAAGCAAGTTATTGGCTGCAATTTTCAGTAACGATGATTGACATTCTCATTGCCAACCAGCTGCGTCCAGGATTTAGGTTCGATGGCTTGGTAGGAAAGAAATTCAATCCTGACAACGACAAAGAATTAATAGGTAGGACAAACATTGAATGCAATAAACATTATTAAAGCATGTACCTGAAACCTCGCGTTGGCGAATCCGCACAAATAAAGGTAAGATTGAGGAATTTCAGCAAAAACAAGGCGCCTTTCCAAAGCGTAGATCCAAACACGGAGGAATCCGCAGAAGAGACTACAGTAGATGGATCGGATTTCATCTGACGCGTCAGTACTTTCGTTAAGTTTGTTTGCAGCCGTCAAAAGAATAGCGGGTGCATTTTGGATAGTTACTTTGCAAATTAGCTTGAAGTCTTCTGTTAAGGGCGCGTTATCAAGGATACTTCCTTCGATGGACTTTACAGTTTCCTGAATTTTTAGCAAATCTGACGTCATTAAGGCGCTTTGGACGTCCTGGTGCGAAAGAAATGATTTGTGATTTGACGTGGTTTTTCTTTCAACTTTTGAATGGAGCGATGCGCAGGAGGAGTCGAATTCATTTTCAAGTGGGTTGTACAGCTCAAAATTACTGCACTGCTGTACCAGCTTTATTGTGCCATCGGAAAAAGCACTTGCCAGCACTAATTCACTGAGCAGATATTTACTTTGGGGGGTTGGAGGAGGTGAGCCGCTTGCCTGACAATTCAGAACACATTTTAGCAGTTTTGGTAAACAAGGAGACGAAAGTAAATCGGGATCGAGCGGCACATACCCTTCTAATGGCTGTTCTTTTAAGTCGAGACAATCTTGATGAGAGCACCAAATGAGGCATTGGCGACACGTGTAAGCAAGTGTCCCGATAGCCCATGCAAGAAGAGAAAGCAGATTACTCCGTTGAGATAGGAAACTCTGCGTAAGTGTGACTATGAGTGAATTGACTGTTGGAAGGTAATTGATGATATCTGAAGCCTCTAAGTCAGAGCGATCCGGATTTCGAAGACTGCATGTTTCGATGATCGAAAATAGCAGAGTGAAAATTGACAAGGCCTCAGAGCTATCTAAACAGTTTTCCATTGCCGAAAATACTTTTTCTCGTAATGACTTGCGCAAGGAGATTGGAATGCGAGTAAATACCTGTTTTAAGCATTTTATTCGTTTCAATGGGTCAGTTATGGAACCATCTGTAGCAATATGTTCACGCAACTCAGACCTTAATTTTACAATGGTTGCAGCGGTTAGTTGGCGGTCTCCATAAGGAACAAGGGCTAAAAACTCGGTCAACGGATCTGAGGATGCACACATTGCGAAAGACAAAAGGCACGCGACTTTACAAGGCGCTGATTGGACCCTTCAGAAATTTAATTCGACACCCTTTTTTGGGTGTTTACAAACGTAGTGGAAGGTTTATTATAAGTGTCGGTTGTCAACCCTCATTTAAAGATATTTAAAGACAAAATAAATCTTAAAATGCGAGGTTGATACTTGACTGCATCATGTTTTACATCCTATAACTCACCTTAAGATTTGTAGAATTATTGGGGTTTTAAAACATATCTAGTGCATGGATCAAATAAGACATGTGAGCAATACAATTGCTTTTGAATCCAAAATGGTTTGCATTCTGATTACACTTTATTATGTTGACACAAAATTCTGTAAATTTATAACTTGTGTTTATGCATTCTGAGATTCATAAAAATTCGCACTTGAACGCACTTCTCATGTTTTCTTTACCGGTTAGTATATTAATAAAATTGCCCAAATTTAAAAAAACTTGTACTAACACTTAAAAAAGACGAATTTGACTTGAAAGTGCAACTTAAACTCATCTCCTTTAGACATATGACTTATGTGATGCTAATGTGACGTGGAGCAGGCGAACACAATTAGCAGTAGAGAGCGAACGCAGTTAGTAAGCGTAAGCAAACACGATTCAATCGATTTTCATGAATGCACCTCACACAACTTTGCTCGTTCAGGGATCGATGCTTTGCGAAGCTATATAAACGCACTCGTTATCCTGTACACACACCTCGGTACTGCATCTATAAATTGGTTGAACCAAGCGCCATCTATAGTTCTACTCTTCTTTCGGTCAGGCCGTGTCAACGTGAATTGTCGGCCCTGGTGTGGCTTCTAAAATTGCAACGGGGCCGGCTACACTTACTTATTTAAAAAAATATTGGATATTATTTAGTGTGCGTTTGCTCTACTGCTGCAAATTTGATAAGCCAAGATATTGTCTAAGAATTTTTGGAAGGATCTCATAATGGTTTATGTAACCACATTCAATTAAATGTTGTCAAATTTGTTGCACATACAATTCTAGTAGGAAAATCCCAAAAATGTAATTTTTTAACACCTATGCTATTCGGGAAAATTAATCGAAACTTTTTAAATACATTTTTAAACACACTTAAGGAAGAACTTGGAAATACAAAGGGTGACTTCAGATTTCGGCTGCACAAGCAAGGTTGTGGATGATGGTGAGACGTTTTCTCGGAAGTTTACCGCCGAGGGTATCAAATCATTTAAAAAAAACCATAAAATTCACTTTTTTCAAATGACTGGTGCTGTTAGGTGCGTATAGTCCTAGTAAAACTTAAATGGAATTAAGAACTAACGTTTTCCTGCCTATGACATACATAGGGGTAGAGGATACCATGGACTTGCCAAACAAAAGAACAATTTGCTGGAAATATAATGGATTTTGAGGATTGTTTACTTGATTTGATCTGTATACGAAATTTTGAAACGTAATCAGAATCTTGAGGAGGAATTTATTTCTTTGCAAAATTAGGACAAGAAAAACGATAACTCTGACGATAGCCGAACTTTAGTTAACTGCTGGCATTAATAAATTTCAGTCAGCTTGCTTCGGATGAGATCAGCCTGCATCTATTAGACCTAATAAAACGTAACAAATTTAAAAAAAATTGTGTGACCATTTTGTCAGACTTCCAATTATTGTCTCAAATCGGAACTTATTATCAACCTTTGTTTTTTTTTAATACTTGCGTAGTCAACATCATCAAACTCATTACCAATTTTGGCGTCAGCCTAGGATCACATACTTTCATCAATTTTATCGTTGTCGAGTATTTAGAGCCATGAAAGTACAAAAAACCCTTTTATTTAGGCACCTCAGATAAACGTTCATACATACTGCATGGACATTGTCTAGCCGATAGAAGTCGCTTGTACTTCTAATGAATTAAATGCAGTGTAGATTACCCGAGCCGTAGTATGATGAAGACCGGTGCAACAGAACAGGCTTTATTAACCAATCACAAGTCAGAACCACATGTCATGTAGCCGAGTCCACCACGCTGGCTACGCCGTTCATTATATGCCACTTCCCAAATGTGTCTGCCTCTGCCTATCTTCCTCGCATGCCATTCGTGCGCTGAGGGAGAGGATTGGTTGAGGCTAGCGTGGTCCAATATGTCTGCTCGTTATATATCGCTGCTGTGGCGACGTCTGGGGGTGCAGACATATTGGACCACGCTGGCTTTAGCCAATCCTGTGTCTCTCTGCGTTCCAATGGCATGCGAGGAAGATAGGCAGCCAACCAGAGAAAGACACGAGTGACGAGCAGTATATATTTAGCTGCGTGGCCAGCGTGGTGGACTCGGATGGAAGGCGCCTGGCTTGTGGTTCCGGCTTGTGATTGGTCAATATAGCCTGTTCTGTTGTACCAGTCTTCATACTAGGGCCCGGGCATTCTACACTACACTACAGTAGATAACTTGAGACAGCAGGCATGGTGTAAATTTTCATTTGATGAAATTTTAATAACAAATTGGTCTAATTAACCACATCAAATGGCGTCCTAGCTTAAAAACAAACATATGAGAAATCAACTTAAAGTCGAAGCTCATATTTTGTTTACTTTTGTTGTTTTACTTTCCATAATACCCTCTCCGAGTATTTTTAAATTCAGTCATCAAAAGTAGGATTCAGGATCTTCGTATTCCTGATACGCGACCACACCAGAGTCTCAGAAGGCGCACTCAATAGGACAAGAAATTTAGTCTTGATCTCTACCTCCGGCTCATTTCCTTTGATTTTCTCCATGCTGATCAAAAAAGCAGTTTGATATTTGCCTAATTTGGAACAGGCTCAAGGTATAAACTTTTAGTGAGAATAAGGCAAAAATACTAATTAAAGCCATTGTTAGGGCCCCTGGATTCTTTCGTAAACTGCTACAAACCCTCGGCAATCGAAAAAGTCGCACATTATAGCGATGTTCTATTTCACGTGTTAAAATAATATTATGTGATTGCATACATTACCGAAACACGAGTGCTTACTCAAGGCGGAATAGTAGTGTCGTAATCTGAGATTTTTTTAATTAGGAAATGAGGCTGGAGCAATTAGCAGACGTGAGCCAACTTCGATTTGGTCTTAGTTGATCAGTGATCCTCTTTTATCAGGCCGCACAAATTAGGCAGCACCAGATCAACTGTTGCCATGACAATATAACTCACTGCCAAATTCGCACCATTAAGCTTAGATATATGAAGATATTGTCAATAATAAGCGGACGCACGGAGTCTACACGTAGGTGTAATTTTTCGTTTATTTCTTCATGCTACAACGGCAACAATAGCAAGCAACTGAACCGCCAGCCGCCTGTTTGACCTGAGTCGTTCTTTTTCTGACGTGACCTTAGAACTTGCGTGGTTTAGTTAATATAATTTCCGGACCAAGATAACCGCTTGTGATTTCGGATTACTAATTTTAGCAGTTCAAAGGCATCAAGACCTCGCTGTATGAACACAGCGTCGCCATCACTCTTACGAATGCTTCCACTGCCACACACAGCACGCATCAGGAATCTTCATGCGGCATTTCTTTCCCAAGTTAGTTTGGATCTTACAGCGCTACACGACCCTGATTGAATGAACACATCACGATTGGGCCGTGTAATGGAAGGCTGCGTCCTCGCCGTCTTCCAACTTGTCTTTCAAGATCTGTTCCAGGGCCCTAACAAGTTATGACCCCGACGTGACCCCTGGATCAAGTCGACAAGATTAGCTGAGTCTACGATGAATGAAAGTGTGCATTTTAATGGTTCAGTTGTCGAGGCACTAACTCAACTTCCCGTTTTGTCCCAAAAAGGGTCAGGGAAGAGCCGAAAACCCTTCCAATTTCGTCAAATGCTTAAGCTATATGATTAAGAGATTTTGACTACTGAATGCGCTTGAATTTAACGGCCCTCACACGGCTAACAAGTCGCATTCAAGGGATAAATTTGACGCCTTGTCGACAGTCAAATGTATCAACATTACACTATCTGATTTGATCTGTCTGAAAACGAGGTCTTACGTCGGTGAAAATGACGTGTACAAGAATCTGGCAGATTTACTTAGACATTGAAGTCAACTGTAAAGAGTTTTTATTATAAACAATGTGACAAAAATAGGATATCCATTTGGAAAACTCTTAATTGCGCAGACATTAGTGTGTATTTAATGAAATTTTGACCAATTAAAACAATGCACATGATTCAAATCTGTGCTGATTAAGTCGAATTTAATTTGGATGGCAAATCGGCGTCACAACATCAAATCACCATTTTTTTCCTGTATGACATTCAGATTTGGTTTACACAAGGAAAGAAGTGCCAAAGTGGTAACCTCAATTTAGACTTAAAAACGCCTGGTTGCTGTGTTCTTGATTGTGCTGTGACAACATCCGGAAAACCAATCACTTGTTGTGGGCCCCTGCATGTGGTCTTGAACCACGCCGGCGCCACGGAATTAACCCTGGCCCGATTACGCTTCCCTGATACCCGCGATGAAGAAAAAGACTGGAGAGGACGTGGACACAACCGTTTACTTCAGAGCTCAACCTCGTTGGTGTCGTTGTGTCGTGTGTGGTGTTTGCGTGTGTGTATTTATACCTCGGATGTGTGGGTCATACATACGCTAACATCGAGACCTAGGTGTGAGGATACTCCAAGATAAATATTCGCGCGGCTGGCGACATGCTGCGGCAAGAGGAACCCTGTGTAGGAGGTGGAACGACCGGGTTAAGGGGTGTGAATAAACACGATTCACAACACACTCATCCCGACCTCAGTACCACGTAAATTCCATTGAGGCGGCTAGTTGTTCACTAGTAAACCCATCCGTCACTTGTTCTTGTGTACAACTTATCCTTACTGTTCAAATTCAGTCATTAATCTTCCTTGATTTTTAACCATTAGCCAAACGTAATGTGACAGTTCAAGTCGTTCGACAGTTAGGCTAGCTCTTTGATCAGACACCTGGAATGCATATCCCGACTTGCTAAACAAATGAGTGCTGTCTCTAGACAATGAAACTAGGAATGGTCATAAATCAAATCGCGAAGTTATGGCGATCGAAGACGAAACGACTCATGGACGATTTCCATTGGCCACGAGTTAATTGCTCCCATGAATTCGATTGGTCGGCGCCTATACATCAGCCTGAGAAATGCGTATCTTTCCTGTGGATTGATAGATGGGTGCGTCTGTCTCTTATTGGTCTAGGGTGGCCTAGTTAGAATGAAGCAGAGCTACAGAAATACAAAACACATAAATTTCCAGCAACCGCTGATACCTTACGCCCGAAATGCGTGGATTGATTTCGCACTTAAGTCAGCACCAGAAGACGTGACGACAATATTACAGCCACAACTTAAAGAGATGTTCGTGAACGTTGTCTTACGCGACTAGAGTAAACCAGCAACACTTGCTAAGTCGGTCAGACCGCTAATTTACACTAAGCCTGACCCGCAGTGGTCATAAAGTAAGACCAGTTCAACCAAGTCTCTCCAAATCTCAGGCCAATTGCCATATTGCAGCAGTTAAAAAACACAAGGCAATAAAGAATTAGTGATGTCATGAATGAGAAGGATGTGCGTGCTACAAGCAATTTTACGTGTGCGAAATCGCTTCCTCTACGACTCAGGAATACATCTGTTTGAATGAATGATGTAGTGCGTCTGAAACTGATTTATGGCCGGAATATTTTGCTTTTAAATCTTGATAGACGTCACTTTTTTTAGTTTTGATGGACATCAGTTGAAATCAGTTGAAATTCAGTTTCGACAAATTTTACTCTACTAGTGCTTCAAAGACGGGAAAGACGCTGGGGCTTTCTCATTTATCAAAATGAATTAACGGTTGTGATGGGTATCCAAACTACAATTAAAATTGTCCCGTATTTGAGACGAGTCACTATTGGAGATGAAAGATGCTTTGTATACAATGGCACCAATCAGCGGTGACTATAGTTCAGACACAACCCACATCGATTTGCAAAACTGATGCGCACGAAAGAAAATCAGACAGCATTCGCATCTGACAAAGGAATCTTGATTCATTAAGACACTGGAACGCCTCACATACATTCAGGAATTCGCAGGAAATCAGGAAATCGTGCTGAAGGTGATGACGCATTCTCTGTGTCGAAAGATCCCGCAAATTGCACCATCAGATTACCTCGTAGACCCAAATTGACACACTTTTTAAATGATACAAATTTCACTAGAGACGCCTCTGGTCGGTTGGTGGTACTTCCTCAAGTGTTTGGTTGTTGTCTCGATTCATTTAGACAAAGAATTTAACGTAGACGAAAGTTATTCCAAGGCATTGCACGAATTACAGGGTTTAAATGGCATTTAAGTACGGTATTCCATAAAATATTTCCTTAAACTGCGTCAGGTGTTCAGATTTAAAGACCTCTTCAAAACGGGGAGTACCTTAACTTGTAGTTTATGTGCGTTAATAAAGTACGACAATCGAAAATGTTTAGAAAATTCACACCTCTGTCTAGCAAAATTAACCACCCAGGTCGTCGAAAATTTAGTCGCCTTTATTAACACAAGACTGTAATAATAGACAGGTGTTAGAATGCTCTCGATTTGCGAAGCTCTGTACTAGTTTGGCAACCACATGAACTGTCATTTTTGTTTACATGAAATTGGAGAAATTGTGTTGCACTTTTAACTGGAGCTCAATGTCGGAGGCTGCATTGATTCGATTTAAAAATTTACTCCGCATCTATGTCACTGGTCTTTCTTCCGTTTGATCCGGATCAAGGAAACTTTTAAAGCTCGGATTCAACCAATGTTGCCTGTTCGATGGCTCAAAATTACCACCCCGTTAGCATCTTTCTTTTGCAAAAAACGCGTCTGAAGTTTCTCACGATGCATTCTCCCAAGAAGGGGGTTGGTCAATTAACAAATATTGTCCACACACCTCGGTTCTTCACGAGGAAACGTGGGGACTTCAAAGGAATACTGTACCTTTGAGGTTAGCTTGAGTTTCAGGTTCAAAAACTTGCGTTCAGGTGAGCGAGTCTACGTCCACTAACAAGACAACTTTTCCAAATGCTGGAAAAAGCATATTTTGGTGTGGATTTCCCCTTACAAAGGGGACAATAAATCCAATGAATTGCTGACTTTAGCAGTTGAGATCCCACTTGCTCGGAAAAGGGAACCGTCACGCTGCCATGTCCGTACACACACACACACACACACTCCAACGCATCCCATCCGCACGCGGCTGCACGCACGTGCGCACGCTGACTAACCCTCGCACCAATCCCCAGCGTCGAGTCAGGTAGCCAATCGGGAGGAGCGCACGTAAGGCAAGCATCGTCATCACCTCGACTGCATGTGCACGCGCACGCCAGCGTCAGGTCATTGCCAGGCTGCCGGCCTGACGATAATAGAAGCTGCTCCGTGGCCTTTAGTAGTCTATCCTCGTATCACACACACGCAACCGCTAGTGGCCATGTGTGAGATTTAATCTGCTGATGCAGCCAACCAATTTACTCACAGTTCCAGGCACTTTTACCAATGAGGATAGTATGTGATGCAGAGGCAGTCGCCACCACCATCAGAGAGTTCCCCAGAAAGCTCGCCGGAACGGACTACAGACGCATCTTTGTGGGGTCAAGGTGAAAGGATGGCTGTTGTTGCTAGGTTACGTGACCTTGAACTAGTAAATAGGCGGCTTACAGAGGAGAAGTCACGTTTGCAGCGGCAGCTATATCATGTTCTTCATCGACTTGCATCGGGCCAGTTCGTTCGCCATAGTGGAGAGCCACGAGTGGTGTCCGCACTGCTTCGCGAGATTTTACAGTCAACGGAGTTTGATCGATCGAGGGAAAGTGTTGTCCAAGCACCTCTAGCATCGACGGAGTCTTCAAATTTAATGGAGTCAAATGGACTGGCATCGATCACCGACTATTCCAGTCTATCTGACACTTTTGAGGACATCGCTCTCACAGTGGATCCAGTGAGGATGGTAAGCCTGGAAATCCCCTCAGTGGAGGAGTATGCAGACCTCCAGACGCTCAAAGAGCCAGTTGGTATGCGTCAGTCACCATCTAGTTCAGGAGCCTCCGAGGTACCTGCTGACTGGGCCGTCCAGTTTCCATCTTCGCCACAGTCTTCGTCCTATTCGGTTGAATCATTGCGGTCTCGTGGTGGCGCACCCCAGCAGTACCCGCTCGTACCGCACTCCGAGACACGCACGGCTCCGCAAACTCCGGTTATCTCTCGACGACCTCAACCCTCCGCCTCCCTCCCCTCCTCCCCGTACAAATATCCTTCTCGTAGGGCTCTTCGTCGTGGCGTTGTTGAAGTCAGGTCCAAGGGTCTTGAAACTCCTGTCGAGGAGGCTGCGATTCCTGGAAGAGTGAAAACCCACCGCCCCCAACAGGTTGCTTACTCGCTCAAAATGTCACCGAGATCAAAGCGCACGGACGGCACTGCAGCATCCTCACCTACATCGCTGTTTGTTCCTCACCCCCTTCGTCAAGCACTCAAGCGAACCACCCACAAACCACGAGTTAAAATCGGCCCCTCTGAGGACTTTTTAAATGACTTTTTTGCCTCTGCGCCCATCTCAGGCGGAACTGTTCATGAGGAGGGCCTGCATGCAGCGATAATTTTCGGACGATCCGCTGAAGTAGCTCGGGAATTGGCAAGTCTGTTCACCCACCTTCACTCCTTCACGTGTGTTCGAAACCAGTGCTTTGTTATACAGAGTGTTCCCGCGCAGGAGTTGCAGAGGAACCTCACTTACTACCTCCAAACCCATGGAACTAATTTTCAGCGATTGTGTGGTGAGGAGACATCGTCTGAAGAAGCGCGTTCGACTGCAGAAATACCGCTTACCACCCCCTTTATTGCAGTGCCAACACGTCCACGGCCATCTCCCCCGCCACCGCAACCGTCTACAAGTCAGTATCGAAGCTCGTCGGCCTCCACGGAATACAACATCCCTCCAACTGAAGATAGCAATAATAATTTAGAAACGGAACGGCTCGAAATCCTGAAGCACAATGCCTACCACGAGGGACGCCTTTCGAAGCTGAGTTCCAGATTCAAATTATGGCAAAACTTTTGGTGTGTTCTGGCCGGCAAGAGCCTCTTCTTTTACGCTGATGTCACAGAAGTAACCAATTGGCCGAGGAAGTGCATCGACTTGGCCGAAATTCAACGAGTCGAGAGTAGCCAAAGTGCTCGGTCTATTCGCTCAGCCGGCACGTCCGTTGATCACGTGGCCTTAATAAACCTCATTCTGCGCAATGAGAAAACGTACACCCTGCGTTCCCTCACCTCCAGTGAAACTCGTGTTTGGGAAACAAAACTTCGACGAGCTGTACGACGCGTTCAAGCAGAAAGGATTGTCCAGATGTATAGCGCTCAGTTGGCGACCAGCGGGTGGCTACGCCAGTATCGAAGGGGTCAGTGCCACCGAGTGTGGGGAATGCTCATGGGGACTTTTCTGGTCTACTCTCGCGACCCCAAGGGACAATGGCTCACAGGCTTCCGAGATCTCAGTATGACTTACCTTCGATGTCCAGCCGTACCAGAGGTGAAGCCAGCTGACTCAAGTCCAGACAATGTCCCCTTCCGGGAAGAATACGACGACTACAATCCATCCGAGTCCGATTCAGATATTGGAGTTGATGAAAAGGACTTTGAAAATCGGACAATTGCGCTGTGGGCTCCAAACCGCGACCCATTGTACCTGGTTTTTCCAGATAATGTCGAATATGATCAGTGGAAGTACCATCTTCGTCGTGCTTGTTGGTTTCCAACTCTTACTGCTGATCCAGGTGCTGGTAGCACTGAAACGGGGTCGCGTTTTTTTCACCTCTGGGAACAACTTGTGCGGCCGACGTATGCACTTCGTCGAGTCCGCTCAGATGCTTCACTGAAAGAACCGCTTTCTCGAATTTTTGAATCCTCCCTGGAAAAGGACGCAATTCAGCTGTCAGAGAAATTGCTGTTGTTGTCTACCTTGCATACCAAACACCAGGAGCGCACGCCAAAATTCCCCGAGAAGTCGTATCGCCTGCCTGTCGACGCGGAGAAGTGCAACTCGATCAAGGAAATCGCTCAGATGTGTTTCGAGACCACCAGCCTCAAGGACGAACTCTTCTTGCAGCTTATCAAACAGGCTACACCGTCCGCGCATGCATTCCGCACGCTGACGGACGTTCGGCACTCCGGAACCGAACCAACTCGTCGAAGAGCCTCCCGAGTTGTAGACTTGCTCTGTCACCGTGACACGGCACAACGCAGGAGGGCAGCCAGCACCCAACGGAATCATGCAGAAATCGGACGCTTTGCATCCTCACGTGGATATTCTCAAAAGTGGATTCCAATAATTGTGATGTGGGAATGTCTGGCGATATATTCCACAATGTTCCTTCCATCACCACCAGTGCTGGCGTGCCTGCAGGCCTATCTGCTCCAGTTTACAACGCGAAGTGACACGGGACCAGACGATCAGGGATCTTCTTCGCTGGGGCGAAGGTCGAGGTATGCAGAGACCAGAAGGTTGCACAACGAGCTCAGTCGTTTCGCGGCGTTCTGCTCGGATATGCTGGTGAGATGCCGCGTTCGCGGAGGTCGCCGCATTGTACCCTCGTACTTCGAGGTTGTGGCAATCTCCCTCCGCAACCCCTACACCCACAGTCTCCCCTTCAGTCTTCCTATCCACGTACACCTCCCCAGCGGATATGAAGTTGTTAGTTTTGACGGAACTATGAAAGTCTCCCAGTTGATGGCAAGTCTTGTTAGCAAGCTAGGTCTTTCTGAGGCAGTCACGCTAAACCTCTGTCACTGTGGTCTCTACTGTCGCATCTCAGGACCACAGCACGCATTCGGCGGTGTGCCTGCTCGACCCAGATTAATATATCTGGAAGTGGAATGGAATGTCTGCGATGTCATCTCCCTCTACGAGTCGACACTAACTCGAACCGACCAGGGCTCGGACTTCAGCCTAGAGGACATGACTATCGATCTGGTCTTCCTCATCCACGCTGTCTCGAAAAAGGCCGTTGTGCAAGTCTCTCCCTTGACTAATCGCATAATGGACATTGTCGCGCATCAACTCCACGCCGATTTGTATTCGGGTGAGGTAAACCTCATTCTCCGTGGCACTCACTACCTCGAACTGACCGCTCTCATGTGCCGCTGCGACCACCTTGACTACGCAGAACTGCAACGTCGTCAAGAGGTGAGTCTGACGCAACTCGTCAACCGGTACCTCCCACACCACTGCCTTCTCGTTTGGGGCCGCGATAACGACCAGGCCCTGATTGAGCTCAAATTATTGCTGCTGGAACGCTGGAATAAGGTGTGTCTCGAGACTTCCAGCCCCGAAGATTCCAACGAACTCGTTGAACCGGGGCGTCCACGAGCCGCCTACGCGTACACGATGTACTTTTGGCGTCTTCACCCTGCGGGTGCTTGCGTACGACACTTCCCCTGCAATCTAGTCAACTCGCCATTGGTCCCCTCGGACGAAACTATCTGGCTTGCACCAAGCTTCGACAAAATTAGCCTCTTGAGGATGTACACCTTCGACAGCATTGTGAGCCATCCTGTTAGGTCGACTGGAATTGGGGGAACCGTGACAGGAATGGGATGTTTTAAACAAATCCCTCTCGATCGTGTAATCTCCTTCGGTGTCCAGCAGACCGGTGCTTTCTTCTTAGTCTCCTCGAAGACGTCAAAGAGGCGTCATCGTCGTCGAAAGACTCGGCGACACTCTGGAGTGGGGGTGAGTACAGCTTCCACACCCACGGCATCACCCAAAAATCACGGTGTGCAGAGGAGAAGCACATCGATACGCGAGTCCTTCACCAGACTCTCCTATTCTCAGCCTGAGGTGCAACTGGAAAAACTCCTGTTTTTCGTTCGAGATCTCTGTCAAATCAATGAATTGGGTCGTGTGCTGACTTTTTATCTAGAGAATTTCCAGTGAGCTTCGAACTGGTCATACGAATATCCCCTTGCTATCTGTGATGTTCCCCTTCACTGTGAGCGCACAATAATCTCACTACTTGCTCCCTTAGGATGTTGACAATGACACTTTACCTTTTGCAACTCGGGTACAGTAACTAGCAGTTTCACCTTATTGGTTGATTTGTAAATTTGCTATCATGTATTGATTTTTTTCTCTAGGCACCTGTCCTCATGGTTATAGCTTTATGTGATGTGTCCCTTGTACCGATGTTTGAACTTGTACCTCCGTTTCTACACATGAATACTTTCTCTTACCTAGTAATACTAAATAGCCTGTCTGAATACTTGGTGAAAAAAATGGTAGTATTTTTGACTTCACTTGTCGAGTCTTCGCCAGCTGATTGGCTAGGATGTTGCCAAAACACACCTGGGCTGCGGTTGCTGTTGGGAAAGGGAAACACTGGTTGATGGGTCGGGCAAGTTGTCTTAAAAGATGCGTTTAGTCGATTTAAAAATAAACGACGCCTGAATTCGTAGAATCACCAGAGATTTGGCAGAGCTTCGAGCGAGGGTCATCCCATTGGTTGGCGGTAATAAACATAATGAATCAGGCTCGTCAGCTATTGGCTAATCTCTAGCAGGCGTGACGCCTCATCCCTCGGCAGTACGAATAGCCAAAGCGGTTACGGTAATGCCGAGACTTCCTTCTAATTAGTCAAAATGGCGCCACAAATCCTTCCTATCATTAGCTCCGGAGGCACGTAGTGGATAATTTGGAGCGGGTAGTGTTGTATACATTGGCACTTGATGAAAGCATGATTAACACGAGTACGTATCGATGAGGCTACATGGTTATTGCAGAACGCGACGTTTATTGCTTAATTTTATGCTTTGTAGGCCATCTGTGTTGACAGAAAGCGCGTTACATCGCTTTTAAACCGACTTTGCATGAACTCAGATTTTTAACAAATTAGTTCTTAGTGACAGGAAATCATTTCCTAACTTTTGTGAGCCACCAACCTTTGATCTTTTGATACCTTACTTATAAACGCATTTTCAACAGATAATTTTTGGAAAAAAATGACTTCAGCATCACTAGTTCACACAGTGTGGAATGGATTCCATATTGGACGCATTGCTTCAGGCTGAAATTTCAGAAAATACATGCTCAAATTCCACACGAAATCTAATATCTATGAGATGAGTGATGGCCTTACAAGCGGTACACGCAATTCACAAAAACCAAGCGACCACCTGATGGAGGGCTGTAAAGCCGTCCAGTCACGACTGACACGTTCTCTTCATCAAAATGCATGCCTCAACACAACTGACATTTGTGCGTGTTATTTGGTTTTGCTGGGATATTTGTAGTCTACTGCACTACCTAGGAAAACTTTTGCACTTCATAGGAAAGGTGACCAAAGCACGACTAGCATCGTCCGACTTGGCGGTCTGATCACCAAAATTGTGCACCTGAGCGAGCGTATAAAAACCGATAATCGAACGCCTGAGTATCGTTCATCAGCATAAATAGCGCGCCCTAAAATTATTGATTAATTTTTGGCTTGACCGAACCTTCCTCAAAATATTGGCCAGCGAGGTGTGAGATGATTGGCAGTTGGAAAGTGTGTAAATTGACTCATTTAAAAGGAAGGTCTGACGCGACCAAAAGTGCCTAATCAACAGTATCTCAGACGCACAAATATTTAAAATCCAAAAATGTCACATTCGCTTGCTAAACTACTCGACCTGGTTCATACAAGATCTCGCAAAATGTGACCTTGAAACTTGAATGTGAGCTAAATTCAGGAAAAGTGCTGCAACCCAAGTTCGCATTTATTTTGCTTGCCTCTAACGTTCTTTTGTACTGATCATGTACACCTTTGCGATCTTTTTTTTCCTCATGACAGGGTGCATGAAAAACCGAAGAGAAATCTGGCAACATGATTGGCTAGTTTACCAGAAGCACAAAACCTTTCAATGAGTCGCTTCCCCATTGTTAATGGGTGAATTTGCATCCCAGGGTCTTGGTTTATTCCTAAAATTAAATGGCTGAGGCCGTGAATGGAGCAACTTTTAAATTAGAAGAAAATGGTCGGGTTGGACAATGTTTGCGAAAATCAGCAGCCTTACCATAAACCCAAATATTTCACGTGGAAGGTATTAGAGCAACCAATAAGTATAGTGTTAAATGACTTTCGTTTAAATTGGTAGAAGTTATTGAAACAACGCTGTCCACGTAATTGGTCAGAAGTTGTCAGGATTCACTCAAGTACATGTAGTTTTCTCATGAAGTCGTCGTGCGTATGGATGTTCCACTGACTGCAGCGTTTTCAACCAATGACGTTAATGGAGGCTTCATTACTTTTCCACAAACAAATCAGAAAAATTTTGCAGTTTCACGGCTGTTAGACTGGATTAGAAGCTGTAAACAAGATTTGCTCAGGCAAATATCCAAGACGTGAAATAGGTTGAGCGCTACAGGTGAATTGTGGGTGTCGGGTAATGGGGAAAGCAGACATTTTTGTGGGTAATTAGGTGACCCTTCCTTTATACCACCCACAATGCAGAGTTTAGAGAAAGCGGTGAATGGGGTGAGACGTTACCCGCTTGCTTTTGCCTTGCTGATTAACTCGACACAGTGCTGATTTTGGCGGGCTCAAAATGTAAATTTAAATTTAACGAGCCGCTGTCACGTGAATTTCGCAAGTCGGGTCGATTCCAGGAAAGCAACAACAAATTTTGTAGAGGTTGTTTTGGTGGAAGGACGGTACATAGATTTCTGGCAGTGATGCGCAATGCATTTGTTCAAGCTGCGTATGGCATATTTCACCAATATAAATATTTGACATTTTGAATAAACAAGCTCTCGGCCAATTGGGATGCAGGAGTGCAATGAAAATTGTGTTGTTAGCCCAAATAGGCTACCATCAAACATGGCCGCAATGGAGGGCTTGTTTTGGCTAAAAACTGATGCGCTCAAGAGTTTTGAGAAGACTACATAAATAGATGTAGCCTCAACCTAAAATAAAGGTAGATAGAAATCTAAATTTACTTATTACTCTTTTAAACTTTTAAGCAGGTTAATTGCACCTTTAAGTACCGTCTTGTAATTAGAAAGAAGTCTGATTTGCTTATTTTTGTTTCCAACTAAGCGATTTTTAAACGCGTAATTAAATAGCGGTTTTGTAACAAAATAATTCTCAAAATTTTAATTTTAAAAAAACCTGCAAAATTTTTGGTCTTTGTTGGCCAAAGTAAAATAAACTATTCGATCATTTTTTACGAAAGAACATGATTGGTTAGCCAAACATTACTCACTGCTTGGATATTCCTTCTGCATCCACCCATCAAAGGTTAAATATTGCGAAATTCGGCTTTAGACACGATGATTTTTTTTAAAAAAAGAATAAATTTTAGCAGGCTAAACGTTTAAAAACAGGTTTTTTTATAATGAAAAGCCAAAATATCTACCACTAAGAATTATTTGATGGTAATTGGCCTTTTAGACCGAAAGAATAGAACTTAATGTTAGAATCATTAAAGTTTTTTTTTAAAAAAAACAACGACTTTAGTGGCCTGGAGGTGTACTTTCTCCTTCCCAAATGTGTCATTTAAGTAACAAACGCACATTTTTTCGCCATCAAATTCTCAGCAAACTCATTTATTCTTAAGTAAAAAAAAATCTTTTTACTTAACCACATGCGATAATTTGAGACGGGGGTGTTATGAGAAACAAGGAAATGGGATAAGAGTTTTTTAACATATCTGTCCAGGTAAACATCGAACTGAAGCCAAGTTATGTGATTCATTCTGTCCGGCGGTATTCCATGTGTTTCGTGGGTTCAGCTGGTAATCGAACGTTACACAGCCACCTGGTCACGATAAGACTGTCCGAAGCCGTCGCAAGGGCTGTCGCAACTCCTGATTCCAGGAGTGGAAGTGTCCATGAATGGATAACTCTTCGACCACTTCCGATCCTGTGATTTGATTTGGATCATTGCAAGAGATGCGATTGATCGAAGTCTGTGGGTTTAAATGCATCATTAAAACGGCAGAAAGCCTTGCGTATGCATTCACTTTGATGGAATATGCGGTAGATTCTTACACATCTACTGGACCAAGCAGGGGAAAATGCTTTCCGCGAATTTGTCCCATTTATCAAGATGTTTTAATGAATAATTCATCGTATTTTTGGTTTGCACCCACCTATTATTCTGCTCTGCACAGCAGCCTTTTCTAAACTAGACGTGATTTTTATTCATCAAATTTTGTAACACCCAACTGAACCGCCGACTAACGTCCAGACACCAAAGCGTTAGGTTGGAAAACACCTGCAGCAATGCAGGAAAGAAATCAATAAAATCGATTTCTTACTAGAAATATTTTGTGGCCAAAAAACCAGTAAATGATTTTTTGTGTCTCGGGATTAGGAAGTCCTTAGTGAAGTACAGACATATTCTACTGAAAATATGCGCCAAATATTTTTAAAAATGCTCCACTTTTGCAAGCATGCGCCAATCATCTCTGTTGATGCACGCCGAGTCAGCGCTATTAACTCGACTATTTTCAAGCATTTTGTAATTAAATTTAAGGAATTGTTCACGCCAACTCAGTAGTTGATTTACTACCATGGCATTACTAAATACAGCCGTGCAACAACACAAACCATGACAATAAAACACTCCGCTCCCCATCAACCAATCACATTTGTGGAAGTTACTTGCTCGCATCCCATTGGTCTTGTAAAGATAGCTGACCTTGTGCGCAAATTTGAACTTTTTGGAAGTGCGGTCTAACCTTTAGCTAATCAAATATTCAGTAAAAAATGGTTTAAAAGTCAAAACTTTTGCCAAATTCATAGAATAAGGCAAATTGCTTAATTGTGTCATTTTCCAAATGTCAGTTAAAGTTACCTTTACTTTAGATATCCAGCAATCTTATTGGCTAATAGGTTTTGAACTTGAATGGTTCCATATTTCTCTTTAGAGAAGGTTAGAAAATGAAATAAGTTTTAGC